TTTACATTTTTGGTGTGGCTACAGTAAGGAGATACGGCTGTTGAGGGTGTTTTAGCCTTCATAACCTTTAATAAATGGAATGTTTTGGTGTATTTGATATTTCAGTGTGAATGCAGTCAGAATCAGTGTGTGTTAAAAAGATAAAAGACTAAACAATTTAACTCTGTCATAATTCACACTGAAACACGGCTCTTTTAAAATATCATGAGTTATTCACATTTATCAGTTCACTGCCGTTCTTTAGTATCGAATCACAATCAGTTTTATTGCCAAGTGTGCTTCACACACACAGGAATTTGTTTTGGCTACAGAAGCTTCTAGTGTATGTAAATTGACAACACAAAATCAATATGAAAAATAGATGATAAACATTAAACAGAGATGCAGTTAGTCCAAAAGATCTGAATGTTGAGTTGTATGTACAGATTTGTTATAAATATACAGGTTATAAGGTGCTGTGTACAAATGCGTATGAGAAAGTGTTGCATTGTATATTGTTATAAGTATAGTATGTAAGTGTAAATACTACAAACTAAATACTAGAGTAAATGCTGTAATATAATACAGTCTACTAGTTTACTGTAGCAACTTGTAAAATATACTACAGTAATAATTACTACAGTTTATTATTTGTATTATTTCCTGATTTGTAAGTCGCTTTGGATAAAAGCGTCGGCTAAATGACTAAATGTAAATGTAAATTATGCTGAAGATGTTTATTAATAGTACTATTATTATTGTACTGTAAAGCTGGTCTTATTGGCCACTAGGGGTGCTACAATACTGACTTAAATGATTTGGTTTGGTTTTAGGTCATGGATTCAGTTCAGTTTTTGATATGTTCAGTAAAAAAAAAAACACACATATATATATATAAAATGTAAAAAATGACAAGTAAAATAAAATACTGAATGAATACAATAAAGCAAAGATGATACTAAAATTAGCATAGGCTCATTCTGAAGACGTAGCTCTATATACATTACTGATAAATGATGTATCCAGAAGTACGTGTGGCTGCATTTTGTCTCTGAAAATAACGCTATGGTATGACGCCGTTCCTTTACGCGTCTACAAGCTGACCGCTTACCTCCGTGTGGACGGCTTTACTACTTTACGTCGGCAGACTTGTGATGCAGGGACCACGATGACGCGGTTCGAGTCCGGTGAAGAACGGTTCCAGAAAGCAGGTAATGTCTAACCCTACTCCAACTCTAAACCCAACCGTCACAGTAATGTAAAAACAGATCTGGATCTGGAGTCTTCAATATAAGTATAGCTGATTAACCATGTGGATGGATGATATAATCCTTCTGAGCCTACCAGTCAGCACAGAAGGCCCCTATAATAACGCTCATTAAATGAAGTGATAACATTCAAAGTGGGTGGTGATGTGCAGCCGCTGGTTGTTGTGCTACTGACCCGTTATCTGTACTTTCTAAATGTTTTTTCATTTTTTTAGAGATGCAAAGACGAGGACGGAGGAAGACAGGCGTTCTTTCATTCTTCCGGAAAATGGGAAGAGCTATCCATAAGCTTTGCTGTATGGATGCAGCAGCAACATCTATAGTGGACCACACTGACCCATCTGGTAGCGCTCGTGCTGTCGGTAAGCAGCGAAACAGAAGGATTAGGAAAGACATGAGTTGTGGTTTTAGCTGATTATAGTAATTGAAATGAAGCACAGATTAAAATATTGTAGAATTGTTTATTATTCTGCTTATTACATGGCTATAGGCATGTGCTATTAGTTGAATTGGTTGTTATCAGGGAATAACACCTTGTAATGTATTCTCTCTCTTCAGCCTCAGAATCGAGAGAACGGACTAGAAAGATCTACCTCAAGAAAGATTGCAGCAAAGTCATCTTGAGAATCGTCAAGGGCACCCCAGGGTCCCCGGATCCGTGTGGGGTCTGTGTTGTCTCCATTGACGTGGACCAACCTGGGATCTCCAGTGTGTCTGTTGACCCGGGACCTAATGGATTCTACTCGGATTCTTTTAGTCCGGGTCCACCTGGAGTCCTCCGCTTGTCCCTCGTCCTATGTCCATCTGGGGTGTTCAGTGTGTCTCTTAATGCTCGTCCATCTCGAGGCTGCAGGGTGTCTGTTGATCCCGGTTCGTCTGGGTTCTTCAGTGTGTCCTCTTATCCGGGTGCGTCTCGGGACTTCAGTGTATCTGGTAACCCGGATGCCTCTGGAGGCTGCAGGCTGTCTGTGGATACGGGTCTGTTTGGGGGCTGCGCAGTGTCTGCTGCTCCGGGTCCGTCTGATTGCGGCATGTCTGCTGCTCCGGGTCCGTCTGATTGCGGCATGTCAGCTGCTCCGGGTCCGTCTGATTGCAGCATGGCTGCTGATCCGGGTTCGTCTGATTGCAGCATGGCTGCTGATCCGGGTCCGTCTGATTGCGGCATGTCTGCTTATCCGGGTCCGTCTGGTTGCACCAAGCCTGCTGCTCCGGGACCGTCTGGTTGCACTATTCCTGCTGATCCGGGTCCGTCTGGTTGCACAACGTCTGCTGCTCCGGGTCCGGCTCCTCACTGGTGGATCAGCAGTTCCAGCCCGCCAAGCAACAGAACCAATCAGATGGCGGTGATCCAGTATTCAGAAGGCTTCATAACGCCGGCAGACCTGACTCTCTATGTGTTGTGTGTTGTTGTAATTCTTTTATTGCATGTAGTGTTTGTCTGCATCTGAACTGTAATAAATTGTGTTTGAATACACTTGAAACTGTGGTACAAAGCTCTTTTATTATGTGTGTTGATGATTTTATTTGTATTTTTATGTGTTTTGTGCTCTGGACATGCGTAATTCTCCTAATACTTTTTAAAATATATTGTATTTATTCAGCCTCATCACATAGTGGCAAGCTTAGTGCAGCGTCACACATCTTAAAGCATAAATAACAAGGAAAATATTAGAGATAATATGAACACAGACATAAAATAAGGAAATAATCATGTAGAAATATTAATAAAAACATATTAATGATTATTAATTTTATGACTTATTATGACGTATCTATCTATCTATCTATCCATCCATCCATCCATCCATCCATCTATCTATCTATCTATGTCTATCCAGCTTTTCATCCACTTATCTGTTTATCTATTCATCCATGAATCTATCAATCTATTATTTTATCTATTTTTATGTCCACATATATATCACAAAAATAATAATAAATATACAATTTATTATATAAACATACAGTCATGAGTAAAATGTCATAATGCAATAATTATCTTTCTAAAATTAGATAATATTTATTGACAGTTGTCTAAAGAGCTCACTATCAACTCACAACAGCAGATTTGATTATAATAATCCCATAATCATTAGTACTGCTAACTTATTGCACTTAAAATACCTGCTGTATGATTAACATGTTAATGGCAGGAGAGAACAAGCACATTTATCAGGCTTATACTATTACAAATCAATTAATAAATCAATAAAGAATACCCAGTTATACTGACACACCAGTTACACATCCCAGATCGAGGACTAGTCAAGCAGATTATATGGATAAACCGGTGATGTGAAGTGCCATCAGCTTTCAGTGGATTTTTCACATATTTCTGAAAGTCATTTCTCTTATATTTTGATTAGGAACCTGTCCAGATGATCCAGATCTGGATTGTTGTGCTGTACATTTGTTTGGTGCTGGTTTGATTTGATGGGTAGCTTATTTTCTCTCAATCTTTAAGTTATAAATATGACACTGCTGCTTCAATTTGTTGAAAAACATGAACAAAACACACACTTTCACATTCAGTACGTGACGAAGACTGTGGAAAACACTGCAGAGGCTGTACGTTTGGTCTGTAATCAGCAAATTAAGAGGTACTGCTAAGAGTAAACGATTGTCTGTATATTTATTGAACACTATTCTACATTGTAAGAAAACACTCCAGGATTGCATTTAATTTCTGTAAAGATTTCCTTTTTCATCTCTGCATCATCGACGTGTACTCATCATCATATACTCGCATACTATGATGTCAGCTTGTAACTCACTGTCATGCATTTAATGGTTTCCCCCATTAAAGTGTGTGTTAACCGTGTGTTGTGTGCTCTGGACATGCGTAATTCTCCTAATACTTTTTAAAATATATTGTATTTATTCAGCCTCATCACATAGTGTCAAGCTTAGTGCAGCGTCACACATCTTAAAGCATACAAAACAAGGAAAATATTAGAGATAATATGAACACAGACATAAAATAAGGCAGTGGCGCAGTGGGTAGCACGTTCGCCTCACAGCAAGAAGGTCGCTGGGTCGCTGGTTCGAACCTTGGCTCAGTTGGCGTTTCTGTGTGGAGTTTGCATGTTCTCCCTGCCTTCGCGTGGGTTTCCTCCGGGTGCTCCGGTTTCCCCCACTGTCCAAAGACATGCGGTACAGGTGAATTGGGTAGGCTAAAATTGTCTGTAGTGTATGAGAGTGAGTGTGAATGTGTGTGTGGATGTTTCCTAGAGATAGGTTGCGGCTGGAAGGGCATCCACTGCGTAAAAACTTGCTGGATAAGTTGGCGGTTCATTCCGCTGTGGCGACCCCGCATTAATAAAGGGACTAAGCCGACAAGAAAAGGAATGTATTATGACTTATTATGCCACTTTATACAAGATGTAAAATAAGTCTCTTATGTCTCTTTTCTACACCATCATCCTTACTATCATCACTGTCATCACTACCATCAAAATCACTACCATCATCATCATCATCACATCACACCATTAACATCATCATCAACATCCTACTCATCACCACCATGACCATCCTCATCGTCAAGATCACTACAATGACTATCCTCGTCACCTTCATCGCAACCACCATCATCATCATCACCGTCATCACTATCATCATCATCATCATGACCATTATAGCTACCATCACAATTATCCCCATCGCCCTCATCATCACCATCATTGCTATCATCACCTTCATCATCATCATGATTCAGACAGGATGGATGTGTAATCTGGATGTCAGACTGACCGTAGCAGGCGTGTCCGTCTCCGCTGTATCCCTGATGACACTGGCAGAAGTATGAGCCCATGATGTTCCCACAGCGAGCGTTGACGTCACAGCCGTGATCCCCGGACAAGCACTCATTTATGTCTGTGAGCAAACCAGAAATCGGATTCAGTGTTTTCCTCAGGACTCAGCACATGTGGGTGTTCACGCTTTTGACATTGACGTAATCAAACAATGTTTACAAATTTCTGTAACAGCTTTTCTCAAACCATTTTCATCGAATGTTTACATGCACGTCTGCGTGTGTGTTACTCACCTGTGCAGTGTGTGCCATTGCCACGGTAACCACGCTGACACACACACCTGTAACTGCCTAGTGTGTTTTCACAGTCTCCTCGACCGTCACACAGGTGTGGCTGCTCCACACACTCATCCACATCTGCGTGCACATCATGCAGGGTGAACATAGTTTAGATGCTACCTTAACATGTAAGAAAGCCTATACAAAGCACCAGACAGACAGACAGACAGACAGACGGACGGACGGACGGACGGACGGACGGACGGACGGACGGACGGACGGACGGACGGACGGACGGACGGACGGACGGACGGACGGACGGACGGACGGACAGACAGACAGACAGACAGACAGACAGACAGACAGACAGACAGACAGACAGACAGACAGACAGACAGACAGACAGACAGACAGACAGACAGATAGATAGATAGATAGATAGATAGATAGATAGATAGATAGATAGATAGATAGATAGATAGATAGATAGATAGATAGATAGATAGATAGATAGATTGGATGGATGGATAGATAGATAGATAAATAGAGATGGATGGATGGATGTATGGATAGATAGATAGATAGACAGACAGACAGACAGACAGACAGACAGACATACGGATAGATAGATAGATAGATAGATAGATAGATAGATAGATAGATAGATAGATAGATAGATAGATAGATAGATAGATAGATAGATAGATAGATAGAGATGGATGGATGGATGGATGGATGATGGATGGATGGATGGATGGATGGATGGATAGAAAGACAGACAGACAGACAGACATACGGATAGATAGATAGATAGATAGATAGATAGATAGACAGACAGACAGACAGACAGACAGACAGACAGACAGACATACGGATAGATAGATAGATAGACAGACAGACAGATAGACAGACAGACAAACATACGGATAGATAGATAGATAAATAGAGATGGACGGACGGACGGACGGACGGACGGACGGACGGACGGACGGACAGACAGACAGATAGATAGATAGACAGACAGACAGACAGACAGACAGACAGACATACGGATAGATAGATAGATAGATAGATAGATAGATAGATAGATAGATAGATAGGGATGGATGGATAGACAGACAGACAGATAGATAGATAGACAGACAGACAGATAGATAGATAGATAGATAGACAGACAGACAGACGGAAAGACAGAGGGATTCCCACCGACACACGCCGTTCGCTCCTCTCTGAATCCATCCAGACACACACACGTGTAGCTTCCGGCTGTGTTCACACACACGTTCCCCAGCTCCCTCCGGCAGCGCTCCTCAAAATTACACTCGTCAATGTCTGTGGAGACAGAAGAGTGTGTGAACATTCTGCTCAATCTCACACCACGACCAAACTACAGAAACACAAAAAACACACTACACACACATACGTACAAACACACACACACACACACACATATATATATAGCCTAAAGAGGACACGTTACTGAACTTATACACAAATACACAAAACACAAAAATACACAGACACACACTCACAAATACACAAAAGTACACATACATAAACGCACACACGCATGCATACAAACTCGCACAAAAATACACAGACAGACAAATACACAAAAACACACACACACTCATACACACACACAGAACGCACCGACACAGTTCTGGCCATCGAGCGCCAGCACGAACCCCTCTGGACAGGAGCAGCTGAAAGATCCCGGTGTGTTTTTACACTCGGCTCCACTTCCACATGCCTGCAGACCTGTCACTGAGGCCAACACACACTCATCCACATCTACAACACACGGACACATGCACACACACACGTTTGTTTTTGTGAAAAGTGGGGACATTACATAGACTTCCATTCATTTTATCAGTCCAAACCGTATATAGTATTGCCCTCACCCCACCCCACCCCTAAACCCAACCATCGCAGGAGTCTGTGTGCAGCTTTACTCTCTGATTAAACTCATCCTGCAGGATTCATAAGCATTTTGAGAAACGAGGACGTCACCAATGTCCTTATATTTCACCTCCTTTTTGTTAACCTGTGTCATACCCATGTCATTATACAGATTTATGTCCTGATATGTCACAAAATAATAAAGCCCTTTTATTATCAATCATCAAGTTCTTACACCACGAGGAGCTAACGAATATTTCACAAATGATCTGCCACCAGTCGGTTATCTGGAGACTAACTACACTTCCTAAATTCAGTTGTTAATTGGCTATTTAACTATAACAAATCTTGATATACATCAAATCTTTTATGCAGACATAAAGCGGGGGGAAATAAGCATTGAGCATGTTGTCATGTTTTTTCCTGGCAATACTATCTCTAAAGGAGCTATCGACGTGGAATTGAAGCAGATTTACGAGAATACAAACATAAAAATGAAATGAAACAAATATTGATGCATCTGTGGGTCTCGTCTGTCAAATCTGAGCTTTATTTTGCATTCTCTATTGGATTCGAGTCAGGTAATTGGCTGGGCCATTCTACAGCTTGATTTTCTTTCATCTGAGAGTCTCCTTGGCTGTGTTTTGGATCATTGTCTTGCTGAAATGTCCACCCTGGGTTCATCTTCATCCTCCTGCTGATGTAGATGTTGGACTGAAGCAGCTGATATTCATTTACACTGAGAAAGGGCAGAGGCTAAAATAATAAACCTGACCTTGCTAGCTGCTGCTTGGTTGGATCGTATTTTTGTCTGTTTGTTCTTCGTCGTCCACTGCATCACTTCCTCTTTTTTTTTTCACTTTTATTATTAATATCACAACTATTTGGCCGTTTAAAGAAACTTCTCGCACTCAGCTGCTGTGACTTTTTGCAACTGTACACAGCGGTGACAAAGAGGAGGCAAAACAAGGGCAATCGCCATCATCTGGACAGGAGTGGGAATTACAGTTAGCTACAAAATACAATAGATCACCCTCAGCATAATCCATCAAACTGACGGATCACCTTCAGATTTTTCCATCACTGCTGAAACAAGTCTGTCAATGATGGAAAATATTCAGTTAACGCGACCTCTGATATATATATATATATATATCTATCTCTCTCTCTCTCTCTCTCTCTCTCTCTCTCTATATTTATATGTCAAGTTTTTAGTTTAACTTAGTTCACTAAACATACACATTTGTATCTCAAACAAAAAAATAATAAGCAACGCATGGACATTGTAACGGGGGTCCTACCTTAAACTTCAAGTAGGCAATGTTTTACTTTTTGTTCGCGTGCCAGACTAAATAAAACGGTCAATATTACCAATTTAATTTTAGCCAGAGAGCTATAAGCCATGGACTACAACTATACTAAACATAACCAACAAAATGCACTATAACAGTCTCCGGCATCATCTGGGCCCGGTTTTTCAAAAGATTTAATCCGGATAAAATTGATCCGGATTTAGTAATCCTGTTTTTGCAATGCGTGATCACGTAATCCAGCTTACTTTTTGAGCCAGTTTTTCAAAGCAACATTACCAGTGTTAATTTACCAGTGCTCAATCACAATGTAGATGGATAGATAGACCTATGTAAAGAGCAACAAGTAGAACAGCCAGTGTGGGGTCAATATAACTTTATTTTTATTTGAAATGAAAACCAAGAAAATTTTATAAATAATAATTATAATAATAAATAATAAAAGCAAGAAAAAACCCCACCCCATCCTCTTCCAGCAGTCCGCTCATCTGAGATCTGCAACACTGTACATTGAGGATATTTATAATAAGTTTCAAATATAGATGTATTGAATAAAAAAAAAGACAATGTTGAAACCTCCACAATAATGTCAGACTTCCTCATCTGATGTGGAGGGAGCAGCTTGTCTGAGCGTATTCTTTAGGAGGCAGATCTCAAGTGTGGTCTTGGTTTGCTGCAGTTTGGTCAGAGTCAGCTGTTCCTCTGCCAGATGAAGCTGAACTTCTGTCTCTTTTTGCAATTGTTGAAAGTGATTTACAAAATCAGGTATTGCCATTCTTTGTTATTCTGTAATCATTGCATACATCACTAATAAATATTCTAAACACAAAAATATTTTCCATTGTGATGAATATATATATCAATTAGTAACAGAATACAATGTATTGTTTTTGGTCAATTTTGACAGCTGTTTGGGGGATTATTTTATGAGGCCAAACTCTTTCTATTTTGCTGTAGGCCTATACTGAAAGGCTGAATACGTTAAAGGGCCATGAAACCCCCTCGTTTCAGCAGGGTGTTTTCACACCTCTACTTTGGAAAAAGTCAGAAAAGTGGGCGTGTCCAGCTCTGTTTAGGGGGGAGTGTCGGAGGAAGAAAAGAGGCTTGGTGTGGGAGTGTCTATTTGGGCGCGCTGAATTTCAGAGTCAAAACACACACCCACAGCGGACAATGTGACTGTGTTTACATGGACATCTGTAGTCGAATTATTTGCCAGATTATTAAATGGTGGACTTTAACTGCAGTTTGGCTCTTTCATTCAGGGAATTCATTAATGTCCCTCCCAACAAACGAGAAATTTGATTCGAGGAGCTGCTCTAAGCGTGTATTTTTCATGCAATGTTTGATACCGCACGGCGAATGAGAGAAAAAAAAACTCTGCATTTCCCGGAAACTTAGATGCACACGGCAGGTAGCGTCAGAAAGCCGCGTGTGTTATTCCGGTCACAAAATCCAACACGAGGTTATAGTTTGGTTGTAACTGTTAGTGCTAACTATTGCACTCGGTGCAATAGTTTGTTTGATACGAATAAAATACGAACTGAATAAACAAAGAGCACTGGTCACTCACTTACCAAATCTGTAGAGACAGGACAATCACCAGCAACTAGAGCCGCGTCTTTATTAAGAGGAGACTACAAGCGAATCCGGATCTCAGCGTTTGCAGATGAGAACAGCTCTCAGGTAAACAATAATCCTCCTTAGACACGTAAGTTATTGTTGTCGAGCGTCGCGTACACTGTTAATCCACACGTGACTCCAGCTGAGCTCTCACAGAGAGAAAATGAAAACGAAACTTAACTGCAGCAAACTATAAGAGCAACACTTCACGCTTGTTTTGCCAACACAACGTGGCGTCTTTGCCGTCTACACTGTGACAGTAATGAATATTAATGAAGTTGCACAATAGAGCGCGCTGATTGGTTTGACCCAAGCTTTACTCATGCATTAATGCATCACACTGTAAGACGTAATAAGACTCACTCTGGCACAGACGTCCAGTCTGCACGCTGGAATACACGCTATGATCTCATGACCGTGACGCAGCTTCAAAAATTTGTTTCAAACAGGAAGTACGAATTTGCTTGAAATAACGCAAAAACAACCAATTTACACTTTTTAGTGAAATATAGGTGTCCTGATAGTGTTTTTAGCAGTGTGGGACACATATACCACTGTCAACAGCTCAACACATGTGTTTTGGTGTTTCGTGACCCTTTAAAGCCTATACTCACTATAGCCTGACAGATGAACAAATAAAATTAAAACCTTATGAATAAATAGTATATCTCGTAAGATACTGCATGATCCAAATATAGTTTTATTCAATAATTTTTTTAAGTTTTCATTACATTTTGGGCATGAAATCCACGCTAAATCCACCCTTCTGATGGGATCAGTTTAATCCAGGTTTTTTGGATCAAAGTGATCCAAATACTACAAAAAAGGTCTGAAAAACCCAAACTTAAGGTTTGATATGGATCAAAACCAAGATTGGATTACGTGATCTAATCCGATTATGTAATCCGTTTTTTCTTTTTAAAAACCCATTTTCAAGATTTGCTCCAATCCCTTATCCAAAATCCTAGTGGATTACTTTTGAAAAACCGGGCCCTGGTGGATTACTTTTGAAAAACCGGGCCCTGGTGGATTACTTTTGAAAAACCGGGCCCTGGTGGATTACTTTTGAAAAACCGGGCCCTGGTTATTATGGAGCCGTTTTGACAGGAGCAGTGATGTTTATGGCGCATCCAAGCAATTATATCTCAGGATTCATTTTATTTGTCTTACAAATGCTACAAACAAAAACACGGTCTGTTTCCTCGCTACTCCTGCCAGCTGATCACCCATCACCTGCGTGCCCTTACGTAAGCAGGCGAGCTGACCAGACATGAAGGTGGAGTAAATCCATATCATTAAACCACTCGATCCCTGACACAGAATAATACTTTATAATATTATTAATCCTAATCAATCATGCAACAAATGAACTAATAAATTAAAAATATCACAAATGACTCCAACATACACAAAAGATGCACACAAATTCACCAAATGAGTACGTATTGAAATATTTATATTTTCCATCACTGAAATGTCACAACCAAAATTAAAAATAAACAGTTTTATGAATATATCATGATCAATTTATACCACACCCAAAGAAAATGTACCCACTGAAATAATAATAATAATAATAATTGGCTCGTTTGACTCATGCTAGCAAACAGAACTTCCTATATGCTACACATGCTAGCAGTGACTAGCTACATGCTAATATTTACTAGCCAAGTACTGTAACTTGCTTGAAATGCTTACTAAGTATAAACATTTGATCAACCATGTATGTGAGGCTTGCCTAGTAACCACCCAGGTTACCCTAGCAACTTCCTAGCAACCACCCAAATTACCCTAGCGACCACCTAGCAACCACCTAGCAATGGCCTAGTAATGCCTTAGTAAGTGCCTAGCGACCACTCAGGACACCCTAGCAACCGCCTAGCAACGCCTTAGCAACCACTCAGAACACCCTAGCAACCGCCTAGCAACCACTTAGGACGCCTAGCAACACCTTAGCAACCACCTAGCAACCACTTAGGACCCCTTAGCAACCGCCTAGCAACACCTTAGCAACCACTCAGAACACCCTAGCAACTGCCTAGCAACACCTTAGCAACCACCTAGCAACCACTTAGGACACCTTAGCAACCGCCTAGCAACACCTTTGCAACCACTCAGAACACCCTAGCAACTGGCTAGCAACACCTTAGCAACCACTTACCAACCACTCAGAACACCCTAGCAACCGCCTAGCAATGCCTTAGCAGCTACCTAGCAACCACTCAGAACACCCTAGCAACTGCCTAGCAATGCTTAAGAAACCACTCAGAACACCATAACAACCACCTAGCAACAGCCTAGCAACCACCTAGCAACTGCTTAGGACAACCTTAGCAACCACCTAGCAACCACTCAGAACACCCTAGCAACTGCCTAGCAACACCTTAGCAACCATCTTGCAACTGCTCAGAGCACCCTAGCGCTGTTGCTAGCATCATGCTAGCTACATGCTAATCATGTTAGCATGATGCCAGAACCTCGATTAGCATGTTGTTGCTTTTTGGCCAGTACGGTGATGCATTTTACCCCATCGATTTGCCACGCAAACCCCATTCACATTTTCTTTAGGAAATGTACAATTCTACTACATGAAGGACAACCAGGGAGCATGTCATCAGTATACAAAAACAAACCCCAAAAAATTTACACCCCTCACAATCATTGGCTCTCCCCGATTGCCACAACATTTAAAGACAAACAAAAACCTTTGTACACTTATCCAAAACTTTACCCTTTTAAAGAGCATCTGTTGTGTACTTTGATGCAGTAAAAACTCTATGATGACAATAAAAGATGATCAGAAAGACAGCAGATGATCAGATGCTGACCTGTGCAGCCGTCGGTGCTCATCAGGAAACCCCGGTGGCAGCGGCACACGAATGACCCAGGTGTGTTTGTGCAGTTGGCATGGAAACCGCAGGGCCCTGGGTCACCCAGACGACACTCATCGATATCTGCGAGATTTCAAACAGCATTTCAGTCAGTTATTAATATGCATTCATTCATTTTATTTTCAGCTTAGTCCCTTTATTAATCAGGGGTCGCCACAGCGGAGTGAACCGCCAACTTATCCAGCACACGTTTTACGTAGCGGATGCCCTTCCAGCTGCAGCCCATCTCTGGAAAACATCCACTCATTCACAAACGTACACTGCAGACAATTTTAGCTTACCCAAAGTCCCCTGTACCACATGTTTTTGGACTGTGGGGGAAACCGGAGCACCCGGAGGAAACCCATACGAACGCAGGGAGAACATGCAAACTCCACACAGAAATGCCAACTCACCCAGCCGAGGCTCAAACCAGTAACCTTCTTGCTGCCAGGCGATCGTGTTACCCATTGTGCCACCGTGACGCCTATTTATTAATATTCATTATTATAATCTATGCAAATTATATAAGATATTCATCTAACGTTTACTAATAATGAAGATCTGAATGTGTGTGTGTGTGTGTGTGTGTGTAAGCCTTCGAGAGTGGCCAAAAGCCCTTACAAATATAGCAACACTAAAACATATAATAAAATAAATACATATAGAGTGACTCTGTGGTTAGCACTGTGGCCTCACAGTAAGAAGGTCGCTGGTTCGAGTCCCGGCTGGGTCAGTTGGCATTTCTGTTTGAAGTTTGCATGTTCTCCCCCACAGTCCAAACACATGTGCTATAGGGGAACTGATGAACTAAATTGGCCGTAGTCTATGAGTGTGTGTGTGAATGAGTGCGTATGAGTGTTTCCCAGTACTGGGTTGCAGCTGGAAGGGCATCCGCTGTGTAAAACATATGCTGGAATAGATGGCGGTTCATTCCGCTGTGGCGACCCTGATTAATAAAGAGACTAAGCTGAAGAAAAATTAATGAAGTACATGCAGATACAGTAGCTGTACAAGTGTGTGTGTGTGTGTGTGTGTGTGTGTGTGTTTTGACCTGGTAATGAAGCTTTGTTTGTAGTATCACTCATATTGCTGGCAATGAATGTAACTTCATTCTAAAAGCAAACACACATCATAGACAAAACATTTAATAATAAACCTAATACACAATAAAAGACTTTTAAATCACGTCTTAAGACCCATCTTTTTAAGCAGGCTTTTACTTAACAATTTTTATATCATGTTTTTATTACGTTCTTTTATATTCGCTATTGTGTTTTAACTTGTTTGGTCAATGATTGCTTATAGTAATGTTTAATTTGTTTAGCATGTCTGCTGATGCTTATTGTAAGGCAACCTTGGGTGTCTAGAAAGGCGCCATTTACAAATAAAAGGAATTATTATTAAAACACAATGGGCCCTATCATACACCCGGCGCAGTGTGGCGCAAGGCGTGGCGCAATAGTCTTTTGGTAGTTTCAGCTTGGCGCAAGAGTGGTTTTGAGGCGTTGTGCTACGCTGTTTAAATAGCAAATGCATTAGCGCTCATTTGTGCGCCCATCGGCGTTCTGCTCTAAAAAGGAAGGCGTTCTGAGGCGGACCGCTGGCGCGTTGCTATTTTAAGAAACTATAATAGATTTTTCAATAGACCAAAACAAACCCGGTCTAAACTCCAGCGCAGAGTTGCGCCTCGCTTACACACTGCTTAATACACACAAGAGAGCAATAGACAAATATCTTTACATATGAAAAAAATGTAAATATTAAGGATATATATAGGATATAATAAGAATAGATATAGAATATAAATATAAAGGATTAAAATATTACAAAACATTATTTTCTAGCCTACATAAATATGAAAAATCACTGCTTTTATGTCTTCTTCATCTCGGGAGGCTTTTTCAGTTCATTCATAACAATTTGCTTTTGTATAATGTTATTATTATTAGCAGTATTATTTATTATATCCATATTTATATTTGTTTTATTAAAAACAAGCTTAGATTTGTCCACCTGTCAGGTTTTAGATCATATGGGGCACAGCATGTGTTTTAGGATATAACTCAGGTTTTTGAGCACATTTTGTTATTATTGTTCATTTATTCGTTTGCTGGAAATTAGAACTGAATTTAGAAATAGTTTTGAAACACATATATTACATAATGTATACATACTCACTGTGTACAAAAAGATCGTGATGGTTTATTGTTGGTATGTTGTTTACATGAAGAAATCTGTGTTACAAGTTAAATAAATTCTAATAAACAGTTATATTTTGAATTTAAATAGTTTTTGTCTTGCGTTTACATTAATCTTACATTTGAATGTAAGATTAATCGCGATAATTTTTTTTTCAAAAAGTGTGATTAATTAGTTAATTTTTTTAAAATCGATTGACAGCACTAATATAAATATGATATCTACATATTATATAAATAGACACACATATGAATTTACTATGATTTTTATTTAAAAATTATACTTTTTCTAGAATACAAATTATATATAAATGCAAATGTTTTGGTTTTGTATTTTTTTACAATTTTAAATTTATGTATAAATTCACACTATACACAGCGAGTATACATACATTATGTAAATACAAACTTTTATTTTGGATGTGATTAATCATGATTAATAATTTGACAGCACTAGTTTAGATATTAAGATCATGCAGAATATTTACTTTATAAATAGTTACTTTAAAAATGCTAATTACTTTAATATAAGTTAGTATAAATAAACTAATAAACAACCAAAATCTTAATATTACAAGGGATTTGCTACTTAAGCTGTGTGTTAACAGTGTAATCGTTGCCATATTTTTAAATTACACAAAGGTTTTTTGTAAATAGACTGATTTAAATAGCTTTATTATTTAAATTCATTATGACATTTAAATAACCTAAAATAAAAACAAGACTTTATAATAATAATAATAATACATTTTATTTATGATGCATGAACACAACCAAAACAACAACAAAAAAAAAAAAACGATATTGCAGAAAATCAAAGTAATAAATCACATCCCAATCATCAGCAAGAAAAGCAATAAATAAGCTAGAGTGCTAAATCACTAGTTATATGCTTTACTAAAAAGATGAGACTTCGTTGACTTTCTTTAGTGTCAGGGCATCTTCGTAACAGGGGATTTAGGATGCAAACACACTTATTTATCATAAAATCATTGATATAATGCATTTTTGAAAGGCAAGTAATACTGTAGCGCATTTTTTAAAAAAAGCATGTTTTTCTTACCTGGCCTGTATTTTCCAGTGTGTCTGTGTATCTGAGAACTTCTTGTTGAGCGGCGAGAGCCACAAACAGCATGAGAAACACTGACAGAGTCCACCAGACCGACACCATCCTGAACACATGAACATCACATCAATGTCTACACAAACACTAGGTAGGGCCCATAAAACACACTTCAAAGACAAGAGAATGTAGACAAAGAGAGCTGCAGGTCTGGGGGTCGAGCTGATGATGTCAAGCCCAGACATGAAGGCTACAGTCATCATCATTCTGCGGGAAAATCTCTCTCACACACACACACATTCCCACACACAAACCTACAAAAAAATCACTCGTCATTAACATAAATAACACTTTCCCTACTGAAAAAACAAGCTTAAACCAGCCTAGGCTGGTTGGCTGGTTTAAGCTGGTCGACCAGGCTGGTTTAAGAGGGGTTTTGGCCATTTCCAGGATGGTTTCAGCCCATCCAAAACCAGCTATGTCCAGCTTAACCAGGCTGGTCAAGCTGGATTTAGCTGGTCAAATGGCTGGAAACCAGCCTGAAAATGACCAAAACCCATCTAAAACCAGGCTGGTCAACCAGCTAAAAACAGCCAACCAGCCTAGGCTGGTTTAAGCTGGATTTTTCAGCAAGTTTAGTATAATAAATACTATATTTGAATTAAGTACTTGAATTAATCTGTTTGTGGTGATTCTACAGATGTGACGCTAACACAGCTATATAAACAAATAGACTATTTAAAGTATGTAAACAAACGACCCAATACTGTAGTTTTCGACAACTGTACTTTAAGGTATATTACACAACAATACACCAGTTTACTGTGGTAAAACTAAAATATACTACAGTAATGCTACAGTATGCTGTAACGTTAGCACTCTAACAAAGTGTAAACACTACAATATATATATATATATGTATGTATATATATATATATATATATATATATATATATATATATATATATATATAGTCGAATACAGTTTACTATAGTATGGTTCAAAAACCCTGTAATATTTTATCATATGGCATGTCAATCAAAGTTATTTTAAGTGATATATCAAACTTAACAAAAACCAAAACAGAGCATTATATTCCTTATATTCCCTGCTGAAAACAAAACAGAGAAAAATATCCCAGAATGGTGTTAATAGATATATCGGAATCGGTAACGTTGTGTTGGTTTTAATGAAAACTGTATTGGTCTCTTAAGATATTTTCCTTCTTTATAGTCATCTTAAAACCAAACAACATTAATGGAATAAGTCTCAAAACACACTAAAAACCATTAATATGTACTGTTTTTGATGGTTTAAACTGGATGTTGTGTGGTTTTAGATGTGTTATCGAAGCCATTGTTTTCCTCATTGACGTTACACTGCATTATCGTTGCTTTCGTGAGGTGATTTGCAAAGTACAAACAACACAAATCATCAACAAACAACATACAGAAAAACATGCCATAAAAGAAAGAGTCAAAATCTAATTTATAAATGAGTTCAGCTGAAAAACTCACCTGTAATAACGGAGACCGGAGCAGCACAACAGATCCCAGCGCTTTCTGATGCTAAACGGCTCTTTAACTGACTTAGGAATCGCGACTCCCGTTGAATCCCAAAATGACTCCTATGCTTGAGTTCACAAAGGGCAAAATAACGTTGTATTCTAGTTAAAATATATTACATCGATCTTTTACATTGCTTTTAGTATCTCAAGGCACAAAAACTTACAGCAAATTTGCTAGTGATTTGAATCGATTGATTTGTTCATTTTACTGAATCGAATACACGAGAAAAGAGTCACTCTCCTGAATCACTCCCACTGCGTGAAAATGATTGCACATCCTGCGATTTAACTCTTTCCTCGCCAGACAATCACTGACAAATTGTTATGTAAACCACATTAAAACCTTAAATAAATACTGTTTCTATACTTTAATGAACCTGCTGTGGTAACACATCTAAATATAAACAAAATCACCAATACTTTTCATACTACAATACACCAGTGTAGCAAAAATGAAGGTATACTATATTTATCAGGGCTTATCAGTCTACTAATTAATATTACAGTATGCTTTTGCAATCCTTTTGTTGAAAAAAAAAAACTACACTGCATAATATACATTTTACTATAGTTTGGTTCAAAAACACATATTTGTGATAAATTACTATAGTATTTAAGATCACTCCAAAATTAAGAACAGGACCACTCCTGTCAGCTAAGAACAGGAAACTGAGGCTACAATCCACACAGACTCACCAAAACTGGACAATAGAAGATTGGAGAAACGTTGCCTGCTCTGATGAGTCTCCATTTCTGCTGACACATTCGGATGGTCGGGTCAGAATTTGGCCTCAACAACATGAAAGCATGGATCATCCTGCCTTGTGTCAGCGGTTCAGGCTGGTGGTGGTGTAATGGTGTGGGGGAGATTTTCTTGGCACACTTTGGGTCCATTAGTACCAATTGAGCATCAACGCCACAGCCTACCTGAGTATTGCTGCTGACCATGTCCATCCCTTCATGAGCACAGTGTCTCCATCTTCTGATGGCTGCTTCTAGCAGGATAACACAGCATGTCATAAAGCGTGAATCATCTCAGACTGGTTTCTTGAACATGACAATGAGTTCACTGTAATCAAATGGCCTCCACGGTCACCAGAGCTCAATCCAATAGAGCAGCTTTGGGATGTGGTGGAACGGGAGATTTGCATCATGGATGTGCAGCCGACAAATCTGCAGCAACTGTGTGATGCTATCATGTCAATATGGAGCAAAACCTCTGAGGAATATTTCTAGTACCATGTTGAATCTCTGCCATGAAGGATTAAGGCAGCTCTGAAGGCAAAAGTGGTCCAACTCAAAACTAGTAAAGTTTACCTAATAAAGTGGCCGGTGAATTCATATATATATATATATATATATATATATATATATATATATATATATATATATATATATATATATATATATATACACACACACACACACACACACACACACATATGTATGTATTTATATATACAGTACATACATGCACACATATACAACACACACACACACACACATATACATCAATACATACACATATCTTCTTTTATTTTATGTTATTATTATTAACAGAAGATAAACTCATAAGGGTTAAGAGCAACTTGAGGGTTAGAAAATGGGGAGTTTGTTGTAATTTTGGGGTGAACTGACCCTTTAAACCACAGGTGTCAAACTCAGTTCCAAAAGGGCCGCAGCTCTGCACAGTTTAGTTCCAATCCTAATTAAACACACCTGATCAAACTAATTGAGTCCTTCAGGCTTGTTTGAAACCTACAGGTAAGTGTGTTGGAGCAGGGTTGGAACTAAACTGTGCAGGGCTTCAGCCCTCCAGGAATTGAGTTTGACACCCCTGGTTTAAACACTTGCATAATAAACATGTGGAGTAGGTGAAGATAAAGGAAATTACCAAGACAAAAACACATTTCAAGATCTTTTATTAACCGATATTCATCCAGCAGCAGTAGCATGTGAGTGTTTACATGTGTGTGTGTGTGTGTTAGATCTTGTTGAACGCCGCAACATCCACACTCTGAACCTGTAAGACACAAAACAAATCAGATCAAGCTTCAGGTGACACTGGAACAGTGCGCTTGCAGCTTTAGTCAGCATGTGGGCACACAGCTGGGTAATAACAGATTATATCTAATCATTCAGACGACATAATCAGACTCCAATAAAATTAAGTACTTTTTAAAACACTCATAATCAGACTAGTTATTATTGTATCCAAAACAAGCTCATTGGGTCTCGGGAGGGAGATTGGACTGGGGTTTGAGTCCGGCAAAGGACAGCTGCTTCACCTAAAAGCTGACTAACAGTTTTCGCCATTTTACTTATGTACATTACTAACTTGCGCTGTACATCTATCAAAACCATGCGTTTGCCCTCGGGCTCTATAAAAACACTCAACGTCACTTGAATACGCCCCTCCCACTGATTAGCATAGGCTTTGCATACATGTTGACGTTGAAAATGAAATCGAAAATGAAAACTGAAATAAAAGTGTCAATAAAAGGACAACTTAAATGTACATTTTCACTTGAATTGTGTCACTATTATAGACATTAATAGTAATTATTAATTAATTTTAATGTTAATATTAACATTAATAACACGCTTTGTAAAAATAGTGTTTGCATTTTATTTTTTAGTTTGGCTTTTCATTTTGAGGCGGAAATGCAGTGAAAATTAAATGTTAAATCGGCAGCTTCATTTTGATTATCGATTTGACAGGGACGACGTGTTGTCTCAGTGAAAATGAAACAATTTCATTTTTATTTTCAATTTTGGCAGATATTTAGCAAACAGTGTTTGAAAATGAAATTGTTAATCTGATTTTTGTTTTAATTTCCAATGTTTGTTTGATTTATTTAAAATTGGCAGGATTTACCTTCCATAGTATTCAGCTTATTTGTAAATCCACAAGAGGCCGCTGTGTATATTACTGCTAACATTAACGCATTTCTTTCCGGTCAGATATATATTATAATATTATATCATATTATTATATAATTAACCTTTTAAATGTTGCCATTTCTTGTAAATCCACAAGAGGTCGCTGTGTATATTACAGCCAATATTTACGTATTTCTTCCCGGTCACATATACATATATATATATATATGGACTCGAAATGAACCTTTTTTCTTGGTAACACCGGTGCTCTTAACTTCAAAAATGTAGGCGCACCAGAGACAAAATTTTGTCGCAACCACCAAAAATGATGAGCACAGTTACTACACGTTTTATATTAACAGATTCTATATTATATTAACATGCTAATCACAACTAACAAATAAACAAAACTCTGCATTTTCATTTCATTTTATGTTTATTTGAGGACATTTAACTAGGTTAATTAGCTTTACTAGGTAAGTTAGTGTAATTAGGCAAGCCATTGGACAACAGTGTTTTTTTCTGTAGCCAATTTAGTAAAAATAATTTCTTAAGGGGCTATTAATATTGACTTTAAATAATTAATTTGGTTTAAAATATGTTAAAAAAACCTCTTGTGTTACTGTTATTGTGTGAAATCAGGCTCATTGGAGATTTGTTCCCAGGGCTGCATTTCTATGAACTGACAAATATGTACCCTGGACTACATTGCTTTGCAGTTTTTGTTTTCATAAATCTACTAGAGGACGCCGTGTGCATTTCTGATAACCCCAAACACCTTATGCTGCGTTCACACCAGACACAGAACGCACGTCAAGCGCGAGTGATTTACATGTTAAGTCAATGCAAACGTGTGAATTGACATCCTGCGGCGCGATACGCGTGAATGTATCGCTCGAGTTCGAAAATCTGAACTTCAGCGGATATTCGCGCCGCGTTAACCAATCAGGAGCGTGCTCTTGTGGGGGTGTGATTGTGACGTATCGCCTGTTGTGGGTGTCCCAGGGGAAATCCTCCAGCCGACACCGACAAGAAGTTCATCAAACTGGGCTTGGCTCAGTCAGAAGCACACTGAAAGCCTCCGTCATCCAGGTTCAGTTTCTGGAGGAGTTTATGAGCTTACAGAGCTAGGTGCACCTCTGAAAGGATTTAGTGGACTCAGACACGACCCTAAACGTATCAACGCTATTTTTCAGTCGGATTTGACACGCAAATGAAGCGGATTTGACATGCGAATGAATCAGATTTGACACGCGAATGAATCGGATTTGACACGCGAATGAATCGGATTTGACACGCGAATGAATCGGATTTGACACGCGAATGAATCGGATTTGACACGCGAATGAATCGGATTTGACGGGCGAATGAATCGGATTTGACGGGCAAATGAATCGGATTTGACGGGCAAATGAATCGGATTTGACGCACGAATGAAGCGGATTTGACGCGCGAATGAATCGGATTTGACACGCGAATGAAGCGGATTTGACACGCGAATGAAGCGGATTTGACATGCGAATGAAGCGGATTTGACGCGCAAATGAAGCGGATTTGACACGCGAATGAAGCGGATTTGACGCGCAAATGAATCGGATTTGACACGCAAATGAAGCGGATTTGACACGCAAATGAAGCGGATTTGACGCGCAAATGAAGCGGATTTGACACGCGAATGAAGCGGATTTGACGCGCAAATGAAGCGGATTTGACACGCAAATGAAGCGGATTTGACACGCAAATGAAGCGGATTTGACGCGCAAATGAAGCGGATTTGACACGCGAATGAAGCGGATTTGACGCGCAAATGAAGCGGATTTGACGCGCGAATGAATCGGATTTGACACGCGAATGAATCGGATTTGACGCACGAATGAAGCGGATTTGACGCGCGAATGAAGTGGATTGACGCGTGAATGAATCGGATTTGACACGCGAATGAATCGGATTTGACACGCGAATGAAGCGGATTTGATCTAATCATTCATAAGCTCATTGGGTCTCGGGAGGGAGATTGGACTGGGGTTTGAGTCCGGCAAAGGACAGCTGCTTCACCTAAAAGCTGACTAACAGTTTTCGCCATTTTACTTATGTACATTACTAACTTGCGCTGTACATCTATCAAAACCATGCGTTTGCCCTCGGGCTCTATAAAAACACTCAACGTCACTTGAATACGCCCCTCCCACTGATTAGCATAGGCTTTGCATACATGTTGACGTTGAAAATGAAATCGAAAATGAAAACTGAAATAAAAGTGTCAATAAAAGGACAACTTAAATGTACATTTTCACTTGAATTGTGTCACTATTATAGACATTAATAGTAATTATTAATTAATTTTAATGTTAATATTAACATTAATAACACGCTTTGTAAAAATAGTGTTTGCATTTTATTTTTTAGTTTGGCTTTTCATTTTGAGGCGGAAATGCAGTGAAAATTAAATGTTAAATCGGCAGCTTCATTTTGATTATCGATTTGACAGGGACGACGTGTTGTCTCAGTGAAAATGAAACAATTTCATTTTTATTTTCAATTTTGGCAGATATTTAGCAAACAGTGTTTGAAAATGAAATTGTTAATCTGATTTTTGTTTTAATTTCCAATGTTTGTTTGATTTATTTAAAATTGGCAGGATTTACCTTCCATAGTATTCAGCTTATTTGTAAATCCACAAGAGGCCGCTGTGTATATTACTGCTAACATTAACGCATTTCTTTCCGGTCAGATATATATTATAATATTATATCATATTATTATATAATTAACCTTTTAAATGTTGCCATTTCTTGTAAATCCACAAGAGGTCGCTGTGTATATTACAGCCAATATTTACGTATTTCTTCCCGGTCACATATACATATATATATATATATGGACTCGAAATGAACCTTTTTTCTTGGTAACACCGGTGCTCTTAACTTCAAAAATGTAGGCGCACCAGAGACAAAATTTTGTCGCAACCACCAAAAATGATGAGCACAGTTACTACACGTTTTATATTAACAGATTCTATATTATATTAACATGCTAATCACAACTAACAAATAAACAAAACTCTGCATTTTCATTTCATTTTATGTTTATTTGAGGACATTTAACTAGGTTAATTAGCTTTACTAGGTAAGTTAGTGTAATTAGGCAAGCCATTGGACAACAGTGTTTTTTTCTGTAGCCAATTTAGTAAAAATAATTTCTTAAGGGGCTATTAATATTGACTTTAAATAATTAATTTGGTTTAAAATATGTTAAAAAAACCTCTTGTGTTACTGTTATTGTGTGAAATCAGGCTCATTGGAGATTTGTTCCCAGGGCTGCATTTCTATGAACTGACAAATATGTACCCTGGACTACATTGCTTTGCAGTTTTTGTTTTCATAAATCTACTAGAGGACGCCGTGTGCATTTCTGATAACCCCAAACACCTTATGCTGCGTTCACACCAGACACAGAACGCACGTCAAGCGCGAGTGATTTACATGTTAAGTCAATGCAAACGTGTGAATTGACATCCTGCGGCGCGATACGCGTGAATGTATCGCTCGAGTTCGAAAATCTGAACTTCAGCGGATATTCGCGCCGCGTTAACCAATCAGGAGCGTGCTCTTGTGGGGGTGTGATTGTGACGTATCGCCTGTTGTGGGTGTCCCAGGGGAAATCCTCCAGCCGACACCGACAAGAAGTTCATCAAACTGGGCTTGGCTCAGTCAGAAGCACACTGAAAGCCTCCGTCATCCAGGTTCAGTTTCTGGAGGAGTTTATGAGCTTACAGAGCTAGGTGCACCTCTGAAAGGATTTAGTGGACTCAGACACGACCCTAAACGTATCAACGCTATTTTTCAGTCGGATTTGACACGCAAATGAAGCGGATTTGACATGCGAATGAATCAGATTTGACACGCGAATGAATCGGATTTGACACGCGAATGAATCGGATTTGACACGCGAATGAATCGGATTTGACACGCGAATGAATCGGATTTGACACGCGAATGAATCGGATTTGACGGGCGAATGAATCGGATTTGACGGGCAAATGAATCGGATTTGACGGGCAAATGAATCGGATTTGACGCACGAATGAAGCGGATTTGACGCGCGAATGAATCGGATTTGACACGCGAATGAAGCGGATTTGACACGCGAATGAAGCGGATTTGACATGCGAATGAAGCGGATTTGACGCGCAAATGAAGCGGATTTGACACGCGAATGAAGCGGATTTGACGCGCAAATGAATCGGATTTGACACGCAAATGAAGCGGATTTGACACGCAAATGAAGCGGATTTGACGCGCAAATGAAGCGGATTTGACACGCGAATGAAGCGGATTTGACGCGCAAATGAAGCGGATTTGACACGCAAATGAAGCGGATTTGACACGCAAATGAAGCGGATTTGACGCGCAAATGAAGCGGATTTGACACGCGAATGAAGCGGATTTGACGCGCAAATGAAGCGGATTTGACGCGCGAATGAATCGGATTTGACACGCGAATGAATCGGATTTGACGCACGAATGAAGCGGATTTGACGCGCGAATGAAGTGGATTGACGCGTGAATGAATCGGATTTGACACGCGAATGAATCGGATTTGACACGCGAATGAAGCGGATTTGACGCGCAAATGAAGCGGATTTGACACGCGAATGAAGCGGATTTGACGCGCAAATGAAGCGGATTTGACGCGAGAATGAATCGGATTTGACACGCGAATGAAGCGGATTTGACACGTGAATGAATCAGATTTGACGCGCGAATGAAGCGGATTTGACACGCGAATGAAACGGGGTTTGACGCGCAAATTAAACGTTCATGCGGCTATTTACCCGCGAATAGAACGTTCCGCGTCTGGTGTGAGCACAGCATTACTGGGGCACGTTTTCTCATATGTTGCCATTTCTTGTAAATCCACAAGAGGCCGCTGTGTATATTACTGCCAATATTAACGTATTTGTTCCCGGTCACACACACATATACATTATATATATATATCAGAGTTTAAGGGTGCTTTCACACCTACACTTTTGTTTCAGAACGTGTCTCGTTTGCCCAGTTAGCGCGGTTCGATTGGCATATGTGAACAGGGCAATCGCGCTCTGTTCCGCGCCAAAGTAATCGCTCCGAGATCGCTTGAATGAGGTGGTCTCGGCTCGATTGAAACGAACCCTGGAGCGGTTCGATTGTAGTGAGAAAGCGATCCGATCCGAGCGCGGTTGTATCACTGTGTTTTATGGATATGTAATAGGCTTACGGCTATATGAAGAGAGAATTATGAGTAGGGCGGGAAGTTTCGCGAGTCTCCGGATGCCCACAAACGAGTGATGATCTCCCGGTAATCTCGCGTCTCCCTACAGGTTCTCAAATAGGCATCGTCGCGCACCCTTCTCACCCCTCCCCACCACATCTCTCCTCAGACACGTCGCGCGCGCACACCCTGTCAATCACCACCAAACCACCACCTCTCCTGACAGCTGAGCGGGACGCTGCAAAATAAACCCTGATACTCTGACCAATGTGAGGAGAGTTTACTCGCACGTGACTTGTTTTAGCTCTTTTGGTCCGATTAGAAACTTTGCAGTGTGAAAGCGAAACGCTCCAAGAGCAAAGAGCAACAATGTAACAATTGTAATCTCTGTTTCGGAACAACTGAATCGATTCACAGGTGTGAAAGCAGCCTTAAATTAACCTTTTTTCTTGGTAGCTCTTGGTAGTTCTCCTAACTTAAAAAATGTAGGCGCACCAGAGACAAAATTGTCACACCCACCAAAAATTATAAGCACAGTTACTACACGTTTTATATTAACAGATTCTATATTATATTAACATGCTAATCACAACTAACAAATAAACAAAACTCTGCATTTTCATTTCATTTTAATGTTTATTTGATTAATTTAAAATTAGCAAGATTTACCTTTCATAAAATACTAGTGCCTTGAAAAATAACTAGTAAAATAGTCATTATTGCAAAGACAAATGAAATCAGTTATTAGAAACAGGTTATTAAAACTATTATGTTCAAAAATGCATTGTAAAAAACCCTCTTAATTAAACATCGCTTGGGAATTTCTTTAAGCAATTACAATTTTACAGGACGGCGAATACTTCTGACTTTACTTGTGTGAATACTGAATTCCTGGTTTGTTGTGCACCCAGCACAAGAGCTTGTGTTACGACTACACGTTTTGTCATGTGGTTTGTAGTCCAGTCTGTGTGACGGTTACTCACGTAGTCCTCGAACTTGGTGATCTCCTCCTCCAGGAAGTCTGTGCCCACCTTGTCATCCTCCACCACACAGTTGATCTGCAGTTTCTTGATGCCGTAGCCTACGGGCATTAGTTTGGACGCCCCCCAGAGCAGCCCGTCCATCTGCACCGACCGCACACACTCCTCCAGCTTCGACATGTCCGTCTCATCGTCCCACTGCATGACATGAGAGAGACACACACACACACGCATTAGGTTAAATGCATGTGATTAATCATGTTTAACGGTTTGGCAGCACTAGTGTGTGTGTGTGTGTGTGTGTGTGTGTGTGTGTGTGTGTGTGTGTGTGTGAAACTGAAGGGGATCACTCACAGGTTTGACGTCTAACAGGATGGATGATTTTGCGATGAGGGCAGGTTTTTTGGCTTTTTTTGCGGCGTATTCTTGCAGCCGCTGCTCTTTGAGTCTCTCTGCCTCTTCATCCTCCTCTTCATCGCTGCCGAACAGGTCAATATCATCATCGTCATCCTCTTCCTCTTTTACCGGAGCTGACGGGGGTTTCTGTGCAGCGGCGGGACGGGTCCCGTTAACGGCTGGTGCTGATGAAGATGAGGATGATGATGAAGATCTTCTCTCCAGCGCAGACACGCGACTCTCCATCTTACTGAGAGCAGAACGCAGATCCTCCACCACTGAGACGCAAAAACACACACATCTAACCAATATATCGGCATGAGGAGCAAAGACTAAACACAGATTGTTTACTATTAGCACATCAAATTTAACAGAGACAAACTTTGAGGCTGGCTTGACAAAGCCTGTTGGTAATAGTTTAATTAGTTTAAAAACATTTTGAAAAAGTATAAGTAGCATGTTATTAGCATGATTCTAGCATGGATTAGCATGTTATTAGCATGAATTCGCATGATTCTAGCACGAATTAGCATGTTGCTAGCATGATTCTAGCATGAATTAGTGTGTTATAAGCATGATTGTAGTAAAATTAGCATGAATTAGCATGTTATTAGCATGATTCTAGCATGAATTAGCATGTTATTAGCATGAATCTAGTACAAATTAGCATGTTACTAGCATGATTCTAGCATGAATTAGCATGTTTCCAGTATGAATTAGCATGTCATTATCATGATTAGTATATGAGTAGCATGTTGCTAGCATGATTGGCATGTCATTAGCATGTTAGAATTATTAGCATTTTATTGCAGAGCTAATTACAGTCTATGGGACAGTTGCTAGGGTGCAGTATGTGGTAGTTAGGGGTGTGGCTAGAAAGTTAAAAGGCCATCAGTGATTAGCTGCTGGCTAGTCTGAGTTAAATGAGCTCAGTTAGAAGTCTGTGTGACAGTCTGACGCAGAGTTACGAGGTCACAATGTTTGGTCCAATGTTAAGTCAATGGGATTTATCCGACAGTCCCTGGACGTTTTTTGGAAAACCGAAAGTCGGATCAGTCTGAGGAGATATAGCAACAAGCCAGCCTAATTAAACAGAAATTTCACTAAAAATACCCAAATAAAAAAGTATAAAATATTAAAAATCATTAAATAAAATACTAAAATACTCAAATTCCAAACCTTTTTAAAGCTTTATTTTGAGGAGGAAATATTTGAATCTTTATTTTAGTCCTGTGCAAAGATTAAATCACATCCAAAATAAAAGGTGTGTGTAGTGTGTGTGCTTATTATAATTATTTAAACACACACATGCATGCATTCATTCATCATACATTTTCTTTTCGGCTCAGTACCTTTATTAATCTGGGGTCGCCACAGCGGAATGAACCACCAACTTATCAAGCATGTTTTTGTACGCAGTGGATGCCCTTCCAGCTGCAACCCATCTCTGGGAAACATCCACACACACTCATACACTGCAGACAATTTAGCCTACCCAATTCACCTGTACCGCATGTGTTTGGACTGTGGGGGAAACCGGAGCACCCGAAGGAAACCCATGTGAATGCAGGGAGAACATGCAAACTCCACATAGAAACGCCAACTGAGCCGAGGATCGAACCAGCGACCTTCTTGCTGTGAGGCGACAGCACTTCCTACTGTGCCATCGTGTCGCCAACACATGCATAAAACTTTTATTTAATCTTATTTATCGGGGGTCGCCACAGCGGAATGAACCACCAACTATTCAATCATTCGTTTTACGCAGCGGATGCCCTTCCGGTTGTAACACAGTACTGGGAAACACCCATATACACTCATTCATATACACTACAGCCAATTTAGTTAATCAATTCCGCTATTGACCTTATTCTAAAATGTGGAAGTGCGCCTGTTTTCGCGATTGTCTTAGAACTTCCGTTTCAGTCGCCTATGGAAGAAACGACTAGGAATAATAAACGGCAGAAAACAGTCAAACTACTTGCTCTACAAACAAATGCTTGCATGACTATACAGACCAAGTAGAATAATATAACAAGGAAATATCAGTTTGCAACATCAAACAGCGAAACGGGCGGTTTTTAATGTCTAAAAATGAATGGAAGTGAATGAGACCGGAAGTCTCGTGCCAAAAAGATTCAAATGGCAGCGCCCGCTCGTCTGTGGAGAATAAGGTCAATAGCGCATGTGTTTGGACTGTGGGGGAAATATACAGCATATATGGGCTCTTAAATGCAGTTGTGTTATTACCATAGACTGTAAAATATATGGACGTAGTATCCGTGACGTCACCCATCGGTTTCTGAAGAGCGCAAAAGAAGCCGCAAGTAGGCGCGGCCAACCGTCGCCATTTTGTTCGCGCGTCATCACACCAACGGCGGGATACCAAACAAGGGCAAAGAGGCGGAGAGTGGGCGGAGCTACAGACACCTGCTGGCATTTAGCCTGGACCTGGTTCAGACACACTTTACTTTGGGAGAAACGCCTAATACTTCATCACCTGCGACTCGTTTGTGTTCTGACCACTTGTGCTTGGTTGTACACTATATCAATAAAGTGTTTAGACTTTTAAAAACACTGCTGTAATACATTGAGCCACTAAACATTGTTCTGATGACGTTTTTCAACAGGAGGAAAACGAGAATTACTTCCAAACACTTCAGATATAGTCTGTGTTAGTAAATGCAGGACTATTGATGAAATCCAGCATAACACTGTATGACAACACTTCAGACGACTGATCTAGAGCCCACAGCTAATCAATCTGACAGATTCTGCAGTGCATTACAGCTCTAAATATAAATATAAACCATAAATGATCTTAAATAAAACAAATACATGTATAGAGATGGTATATAAGTATATAACTTTACTCACATGGGAAACGGAGGCCACGTGAATGGTTTGTGAGCACAATTTAGTGCACTCAGCATGCCATGCCATCTAATAATTGTAGGAAACAAGTCCAAAAGGCAGTCGACTGTGTAAAGCCACATAAAACAACACAGAAATACGATAAATATGCCGAGTTCAGTGGCTAATCTGCAGGATTCAGCTGAGGTGACGTGACGGCGACCAACGAGACCTAGCTGTCACTCAAGTGGCCACGCCCTTAATTATGCAAACTTAATAAAACTTAATATAAAGGAAACGGATGAGTTATAAAAAAATTCACCCCCTCACAGTTGTCATGAAGGGTAATATTAGCTGTATTAACCAAAATCTTTTTTTGTAGCAGGCTGTAAACACCTTTTTTTCTGCTGTAAAGTTGGCCATTCTAACAGTGGGCTCAATTAAACTTTGCTGTTATGGAGCCAGCACTAGCGGAATTTCGGATGAATTGCAGTTTCAGTTACTTCCGTATTGGCCTCCAGAGGGACAGCAGGAGGTTGCCGCTCGGTTATTACTCATATGGCAACTGATATCTCTCTGGCCCTTTGTTTGGGATGCATCCATAAACCGGCCCCCGTAACAGACTAATTGAATAGCCCTGCTCAACATTATATGAATTACTGAAAAATAAACATTTTAAAACTGCATGATGTGCTTACTTGTGTTACCGTTCAGTAATGTTTATTCTAGTTTTATGATCTGCTACATTAAAGTTTAACAAACATGCAAAAAAATAAGCAATCAGTGGGGGAGCAAACACGTTTTCACACCACTGTATATGTAATGTTTATATAACTCAATCTGTGAGACCCCCAGCTAAAATCGCATGAGCTATTTCGGAGAAAAATAGCTGCATAGTTAAAATGACAACAATATGCAATATCTGTTTATTGCATGGGTGACATGGTGGTTTGAGTCCCGGGTGGGTCAGTTGGCTTTCTGTGTGGAGTTGGCATGTACTCTCCGTGTTGGCGGCGGTTTCCCTCACAGTCCAAACACTTGCGATATAGAGGAATTGATGTACTAAATCGGCCAGAGTGTATGAGTGTGTGTGTTTGGGTGTTTCCCAGTACTGTGTTGCGACTGGAAGGTCATCCGCTGTGTAAAACATATGCTGGAATAGTTGGTGGTTCATTCCACTGTGGCGATCCCAGATAAATAAAGGGACTAAGCCGAAGGAAAATAAATGAATGCACATTTATTGCATAGTCTTTATATGTTGAGGCTTATATTTTGAGTTGGTATATGACACATGCTTAGGATAATTATGGTTCAGATGTGTTGCAGGTTTAATTATAAGCTTTTCTTTATCCTGGAGTTTCTCAAAAAGATGATTTTCAGAGTCTGAAATGAGGTGAATCCTTGACATAAACTAACTCAAGGTTATATTTTGACAGAATATACTTTACATTGTAAACAGCGAATCACAAAGAATGACTTTAGCTGGAGAGTCATATATACACACACACACACCCACCTTTGTGTAGACTCTGGTTCTCTAGTTCCAGGCTCTTCATGCGTGCTGCAAGTTCCCCGATATCAGCAGCACTGCCTCCGGCGCTCTAGACACACACACAGTTTCCATCAGTCCCTGCTCTGGATACACTACAGCGCAGAATCAGGTCTGGCTACAACTACACACAAACTCTACTACAGTCAAACACACAACTACATTTAGACACTGCTCACGTCTCAGAAAACTACAGCAATGTCACTACAGCGTGTCAGAACATGCACCGCTTCCCTCAGATTCATTCATGTGAATTATTTTAAATCATTTCAGTCATATTGTAATGAATCAGAACGGTTCAAAAACACACTAATAACAGTGTTGTTGTAGGATTCTCAACATTTTCCAGTCAAGACACTCAAAACATTTACTTGAAAACCCCCAAAATGGTTTAAAATAGTAACAAATGTTGAGGAAATGAAGAGATTTACACATTCATGCACTCAGATTTCAGAAGATATTTAGACTCGCTTACATTTGTCCCTCTCTGGGATATTTGGTATATGTTATCTTTAAGAATAAATGGAAATAAATTAGTAGATTCCCAACAAAATTATTGTAAAATGAATATATTTGAATGTGTGGATGTTCTGTATCATGGATGGAGTGCATATCCCGTCTGTTTGGCAAACCTGTGTTTTTGATGAAGTTATTTTTTGTTAGTTATTTTATTTGATTTATATTGTGTAATTGTGTGTGTGTGTGTGTGTGTGTGTGTGTGTGTGTAATTAAATATATTTAGGTAAAACTAAATACACACATTATCTATCTATCTATCTATCTATCTATCTATCTGTCTGTCTGTCTGTCTGTCTGTCTGTCTGTCTGTCTATCCATCTCTGTCTATCTATCTATCTATCTATCTATCTATCTATCTATCTATCTATCTATCTATCTATCTATCTATCTATCTATCTATCTATCTATCTATCCGTCTGTCTATCTATCTATCCATCCATCCATCCATCCGTCCGTCCGTCCGTCCGTCTGTCTGTCTGTCTGTCTGTCTGTCCGTCCGTCCGTCCATCTATCTATCTATCTATGTCTGTCCATCTATCTATTTTACATTTTTATAATAGCTAGTTGCCATAGCAACATCCATTATTTTAATTTAGGTTTCCTTAAAGCCTAAAAAAATGACAGCTAGTAGTGTAATGGATCACAGATCTCACAGTTCGGATCACACTATGTCACACTAAATCACGGAACGAACCATTTTTAGTATCAGCCAAAAATATGAAGGGAGACAAATGTAATGTGCTTTCCATTAACTACGAAATCAGCACTGCAAGACACTTTTGGGTTTAAAAATTAAAAAATAAAACTATTAAAATAAATAGTAAATTATTCAGTAGTGTAAAAAATTCGCTGTTACTCCTACTGTTGCTGATAACACGACATGTAGAAATGTATATTATATTACTTATGAAATGTAGAAATGTTTATATCTAAACTATAAACTGTTCTCCCAGTACTTCTGTCTTATTTGACTGTTTGTAACTTCATAAATAACTTAAAAGACTAAAGACTGAATCTCTCTCTTTGAAATTTTGTGTTTTCAGATTTGAATGCAGCGATTCAAAGGATTAATAAACATATGCAAATCACTCATTGATAATTTATGTTGTGTGGGTGTTGAGATCCCGATCTTTAAATGATTAACGTGCAGCTTACACTGAACACAATAATGCAGGCTAAACAAGTAGTGCAAAAAATAAATTAAATTTAACATGAAAACAATCTAAATAACAACACAAATCTAACCCAAGAGTTATTATTTTTTAAATGTAAATTAAATTTAATTAAAACACTAACCCAACATCAGGTTTGTCCATGTTTGGCCCAACATTGGGTTAAACAAAAATAACGCAGCATTTTTTTAAGAGTGCACTGTTAAACAAGAATGATCAGTACCTCAGTGAATAACCCAAAGAACTACAAAACAAATAACCAAAAATAAATAATCCAAAAAACCTCAAAACAAAGATGCAAAAAAAACTACTAAAAAACAACAACAAACCCACACAGAAATGCATGCATGAAAGTCTTAAATCACCACATGCAAACATGCAGAGACGCAGGAGAAGCTGCACCTGACCACCTGACCACCTCAGCTGACTATGCATGCATGAAAGTCTTAAATCACCCCATGCAAACATGCAGAGACGCAGGAGAAGCTGCTGTGGTGTGTGTTTGACACAGCTTCACACACACAAACACACTTACAGAGGCGGAGCAGTGGGAGGGGTTTGAGGGTTTAGGGGCAGAGCCTCTACTGGGCTGCAAGGTTGTCTTGAGCTACAGGAGAGATCATTCAATGCAGATGAAGAAGAGGACAGACCAATCGGCAGGCTCTCACCTGACTACAACCCCAAATCAGGAAAAGTTGGGACAGTATGGAAAACGCAAATTAAAAAAGAAAGAAGTGATTTCTAAATTTACTTTGACTTGCATTTCATTGCAGACGACACAACACACATCACGTGTTCGTCATGAGTCTTGTTTTTTAAAATAAACACTTATTCCAATTTTGGTTCTTGCAACATGGATCAGTAAAGCGTTCACCGCTTTGTAATGTTGCCGTTGCTTTTCACAACACTTCAAAGACGTTTAGGGACTGAAGACACCAAGTGATGAAGTGTTTCAGGTCTACTTTTGCCCCATCTTCCTGCAAAAAAGTCCAGTTTTTAGCAAGTTACTCACTGCACCTCAATAAACTCCCCACTGGAAGGGTTTCAGGGCTAGTACGATGGATACAACTCGAGCCACTTTTATTGCGTGCACATACACAATGTTTATCCCAAGCGGCAACCTCCCGCTCTCCCTCAGGAAGCCAATATGGAAGTAACTGAAACTGCAATTCATCTGAAGTTCCGCTATTGCTGGCCGCTCCTGGCTCCAAAACAGAGCAAATTTCAATTGAGCCCATTGTTAGAATGGCCAACCTTACAGCAGAAAAAAGGTGTTTACAGCCTGGTACAAAGAACGATTTTGGTTCATACAGCTAATATTACCCTTCATGACAACTGTGAGGGGGTGAATTTTTTTATAACTCATCCGTTTCCTTTATATTAAGTTTGCATAATTAGGGGCGTGGCCACTTGAGTGACAGTTAGGTCTCGCTGGTCGCCGTCACGTCACCTCAGCTGAATCCTGCAGATTAGTCACTGAACTCGGCATATTTATCATATTTCTGTGTTGTTTTATGTGGCTTTACACAGTCGACTGCCTTTTGGACTTGTTTCCTACAATTATTAGATGGCATGACATGCTGAGTGCACTTAATTGTGCTCACAAACCATTCACGTGGCCTCCGTTTCCCATGTGAGTAAAGTTATATACTTATATACCATCTCTATACATGTATTTGTTTTATTTAAGATCATTTATGGTTTATATTTATATTTAGAGCTGTAATGCACTGCAGAATCTGTCAGATTGATTAGCTGTGGGCTCTAGATCAGTCGTCTGAAGTGTTGTCATACAGTGTTATGCTGGAGTTCATCAATAGTCTTACAGTAACTAACACAGACTATATCTGAAGTGTTTGGAAGTAATTCGCGTTTTCCTCCTGTTGAAAAACGTCATCAGAACAATGTTTAGTGGCTCAATGTAGCCACTCAGGCAGCCTGAGTACTGACGTTACACTAGTCTGTCAAACTTTGAAGTTCTTGCTTGAACTTGTGTTGTCAAAGCACATTTGGAAATCACTACTTTCTTTTTTTTATTTGCGTTTTCCATACGGTCACACCCTTTTCTGATTCGAGGTAGTGAATAGTCAGCTAATCAGAGCCATGCTCTCAATGCAGAAGCTTTTAGAGAAGCTAGGAATTGAATGTAAATTGTTGCAGAACGCTAGATAGTGTCTATGTAGGCATTAGGCAACAAAACAGAAGAGGATAAAGCTGCACAATAACCCACAATGAAACAACAACAACTAAATAAATAAATACAAAATAAAGACAATTTGTATGCCAAAAGAAAAAAAAAAGTGATGGTTTAAATTTGTAAACCCCAAAAATACCAAATAAAAATGATTATTAGCTTCATGTTTCCATTGTTTTTTTTGGTTGTTTTTGTTTGTAACGTATACAGTTGAAGTCAGAATCATTCGCCCCTTTTTGATTTTTATTTTCTTTTTAAAATATTTCCCAAATGATTTTATAACAGAGCAATGAAATGTTCACAGTATGTCTGATAATATTTTTTCTTCTGGAGAAAGTCGCATTTGTTTTATTTCGGCTAGAATAAAAGCAGTTTCTAAATTTTTAAACACCATTTTAAGCACAATATTATTAGCCCCTTTAAGCTAATTTTTTTCCGATAATCTACAGAACAAACCATCATTATACAATAACTTGCCTAATTACCCTAACCTGCCTAGTTCACCTTATTAACCCAGTGAAGCCTTTAAATGTCACTTTAAGCTGTATAGAAGTGTCTTGAAGAATATCAAGTAAAATATTATTTACTGTCATCATGACAAAGATAAAATAAATCAGTTATTAGAGATGAGTTATCAACACTATTATATTTAGAAATGTGCTGAAACAATCTTCCCAGAACAGAACATTAATTAGGGGGGGAAAAAAAACAGGGGCGCTAATAATTCAGGGGGGCTAATAATTCTGACTTCAACTGTATGTAACATTTCCTTTTTTAATATTGCATAAAGTAATAACAAGAAATAAATGTACTGTATTTAATTGTAGTCATTTACATACAAACACACCTAATGACCACATTTTGAAGCCCTATAAACAGTGTAACAAACACAGGGCTTTATTTAGTTCATCAAAAAAACTAAATAATAATAAATGTTTTTTATTACAATTGTACTAAAGCTAGGGTGGTGCCGTTTTAAAGTGCTTGTCTGTATGCAAAATGTTTATATTGGCATCTTAAAGGTGCTGTATGTAAGGGTGTTTTCACATCTGTAGTTCGCTTCATTCGGTCCGAACCAAGGGTAATAAATGATTCATTGTTGCATCTTCTGCCGTCTTTGGGTCGTTTTCACACCACACTGCTGGCTTTGGTCCGAACCATTTGAAACGAACCAAAACGCAGTCATCTGACAAAATCCACATCTCTCATTGGCCAGATGTTGTTGAACATATTTTCTAAACTGCTTATTGATTGGTCAGAATTCACGTGCGGGAAAATGCCAGTGAACTCCCGCAGGTAAACAAAACCTTTTACTCTGGAGGGACGACTGCGCTGGCTGATTGCATGACTGCTTGAGACAAACTATACATTACGAAAATGAAGCGCGGCTGGAAAACAGTGTTTAATGCATCGCTCGTCACTTCAGGAGGAGCCGTGAATTAATTTAGCTAAACTGTGACATGCTCATCTTGCAGAAACATTACCAACGATCCATCAGGTAATGTTTTCCCCTCTCTCTCTCTCTCTGTTGGTAAAGCGCTGTCAACAAATATTTTCCTCCATATCCCATAATGCACAGCGCATCGGCCTACGGCAGCTGAATTAGTCCAAAAGGCGCAGTACTTTTTGCGGTTGGACCTGTTTTAGTACGGATCATATTCTCACCACAAACGAACCACTCCAGGGTTCGTTTGAAAGCGTACCGAGACCACCTCTTTGAGCAGGTCTCGGTACGCTTATTTGGTCCACTTTTGGTGCGCACTAGAGTACGATTGCTGCATTCTCACCTGCCCAAACGAACCACACCAAAAGGGGAAACGAACTCTAGTGCGATTCAATCGAGCTAAACAAGGCAGGTGTGAAAGCACCCTAAGTTTTTGACTCTTCTAAAGCATAAAAACACCATGATATGTTCGCAGATATTTCAGAAACATGCTGAGTGAACATTCTTGCTTATCTGAAAAGCAATGCTGGAGTCAGATATTCTGCTTTGAGGATGTACTTTCTGTGCAGGAATATCCCTTCCATCGTGTGCCGTTGCTTTTATTTAGAACAAGGTATAGAACAGCCTTTAGGCTCGATTGTCAGACTCACTTCTGTTGGTGTTGTCAATCTGGCAACCTGCACCAGTGTGTGTTTTGAACCAGGAATGCAAAGCCTAGTTCAACCACTGGGTGTCAAACGTTCTTATTGCACCTTTAAAGTTATATATTAGACCTAAAGTATACATATTACTCGCTTAAAAAGTATAAAAATATTCTCTTTGACCACTTTGAAAAGACATTACCCCATGACAGTTTTTTGTTGTATTATTTCAGATTGTCACAACATAAGTTTATAATATAATAAGCTTAAAATTGTTTAATAATTCTGAAAGAGAAAATAAACATGCTTAATAGTATTGTATTGTTTTTTTTTGTTTCACTTATTTAGCAATAAGTAAGATATATGGTAATACCAATAAATACATGTGTTTAATTTATATTTAATCAGTCATTTAAATAAGCACACAACTTTTTTTCTGTAATTAATTTTATATAAATTACACTCATCTTCAATTTGTTTAAAACAGAGTTATACAATTTAAAGTAGTACATAGATTACATTGGTCCAAAGTGAAACTAGCCAAATTTCAACCGAATATAGACCCTAACTGTGACCGATGTAACATTGAGCCAGCTACTTTATCTTATATGTTTTGGGCTTGTTCAAAATTAAAGAAAGTCTGGCAGCTAATATTTCAATTCCTCTCAGACGCATTAAATACCTATGTAGAACCTGAGGCCATAATTTCAATTTTTGGGATCACACCACAGTCCTTATGTTTTAACAAAAGCAAGATAAATGTGATTGCCTTTGCTACGCTTTTAGCTAGATTAATATTGCTGAAATGGAAGGAAAAACTTCCTCCAACCTTTAAGCAATGGCTTATGAAACTTCTACATCACCTGACCTTAGAAAAAATACGTACTGATATGTTTTTTCTCATCTGGCAACCTGTTTTAGATCACGTTAAAAAGATGGACCCCTCAGTCATTTTAGAAGAGTAGAACCTTTCCTTGTTTGTTTGTTGTTGTTTTTTTTTCTTTCTATTTTTTGTATTTTTTTCTTTTTTTCCCTTATATATGAGAGTAACATATGCTTTACTTATTATTACTATTTATTTGTATTTTTTCTTAATATTATTTATATTTTTTTTCTAGAACCTAAATGTATATATGTGCGACAGGTTTTGTTTGTTTGTTGTGTAAAAAAAAAAAGAAAAAGTGAAAAGCTATTTGTAATGTATGTTTCATATCTAATATGTTCGATAAAAATACTTTTGAAAAAAAAATATATATAAATTACGTAAAACATTTTTTGAAACTCTACAAATACAGATTTTTTATTTCTTTTAAAATCGAAAATTAAATTCCTTTTTTTATTATTTTTTTTTAATATCACCTTTCTTTTTAATCCTCTTCTAACAGTAACTAAATGTTTTTTGCTCAACTCACCCCAGCGAGAGACTTCTGGATGTTTTCTCGCGCTCGAGCGATGTCTTGAAGAATAGTGTTAGCTCCAGTGTCCTGAAACAACAGAGAGAGAGAAACATCAGTGTGTGCAATTTAAAAGGCAAGTCATTGGACAATAGTAGTTTGTTCTGTAGACAATACAACAAAAATAATTTGCTAAAGGAAACCTATTATGCCCCCACCCCCCTTTTTTTTTTTTTTTTTTTAAATATGTCTCTAGTGCAAAGGTTTAAAACTACCGGCTTGTAGGCCATTTGCGGCCCCCCAAAACATATATTTTAAATCACTATCGTTGTTGTGCATATACCCACTTTTGGTAGAGGTCTACCACCACGGGACCCGACCAGATTTCTGCGGCGTAGAAATAAATTTCTGAATAATGCGCGGGAGCAGTCGGTAATTGGTTTAATTTTGGACGGGAGCGGGCCTTCTAGCAATAAAAGAAAGAAGCAGGGGTGTAACCCCAGTGTCCTGGCCAAAGTCCCTCAATCGGCCTATACGATCACGGCCTCTCAATCATCCCCTTCCACCAAATTGGCTCTATCACTGTCTCTCCACTCCACCAATAGCTGGTGTGTGGTGAAGCACTGGCGCCGTTGTCCTGTGGCAGCCGTCGCATCATCCAAGTGGATGCTGCACACTGGTGGTGGTGTGGAGAGACTCCCCCTCATGATTGTAAAGCGCTTTGGATGTATGGCCATACACAATAAATGCACTTTATAAATACACATTACATTACATTACATAGCTGCTGGTCAAGCTGGTGTTATCTGGTTATTTTTTCAGCCTGACCAGCTAACACCAGGCTGGAAATGACTGGAAACCACTCTAGAAATGGCCAAAACACCTCTAAAACCAAGCTGGTCGTTCAGCTCAAGGCTGGTTTAAGCTGTTTTTTCAGTAGGGACCCTTTCTATGGCTTACACATTATGCTGGCGGTGTAACAAATGTGCAAATTTTGCCATTATTCAATTCAAATTGTCTTATTTAATAAACTTTCTTCATTTGCGTATTGAGATTTCTATTAACACTTTGTACATTTTACTCATTCAGGCGATTTCGGGCTAGGGATTGATTTGGCGCGGTTCTGAGTGCGATTGCGGGTTTCATATTTGCCAAACGAACTGTGCTAACCGGGCAAATGAGACAGGTTCCACAACAAATGTCTAGGTGTGAAAGCACCCATTGTCTATACTGACATTGTCTTCAGCAGCTCAATCACTGTAATGGCCAATGGACGGCTGCTTCTCACTCAGGGCTGTTTATGCTAATGAGGGAGAGATGGGCACTAGTGGGCGGGGCTTTCCCCCTCTAATGAGAAAGAATGTCAGTCAAAGCATTTCTGCAGACTGTTTTCATCAAGTCTGATTATAAACAACACAATTAATACATGTTTACCATTAGAAGCTGGAGATATTCACACACTGACACACAACTGTGTGTAAACCCTCTTATAAGAGGATAATAATTTTGTCTTCGACTGTATATCCCCCTGGTATTCATTACCTGTTTGGGCTTTGTGGGTCCGTTCATCTGTTCGTAAAACCGTCGTTCCGCTTCATCATATCTCGGCTTATCAAACCAGATCCTCTCACTAGCCAAACAGTCCGCTGCAGTCATCCTACATAAACACACACAACGAGAGCTGTAAAAACTAACAAACACTGAACCAAATAACCAGCAAAATCATTCACATTTCACAAATGAGACTTAAAGGCACAGATCACCCCCCAAAACATCTGTAATCACTTACTCAATCCTTAAAGGCTGATTTATACTTCTGACTCGAGTGATCCGCGTGACGCTGGTCACAGCTACCAAGCCGACCAATCACAGAGCTTGTGCTATGCATCGTTGCGACGTGTAGTTACATTTGCTTCGGCATCAGCCACGACAAGGGCTATGCGACTGCGCGAAACCTGCGCCGGATCATATGGTGCACTTAATGCTGAAGTATAAATCAGCCTTAACTTGTCACAAACGTATTTTACTTAAATTTTTTCTCTATTAAACACAAAAGAAGATCATTTGAAGCATGTTGGAAACCTGTAACCATTGACTTGCATTGTATTTGTTTTTCCTACTATGGAAGTCGATGGTTACAGATTTCAAAATAGCTTCTTTTGCTTTCTACCAAATAAAACAGATTTAGCTTGAGAACACTTGAGGATGAATAAAGGGGGAGGCAATATTCATTTCTTGGTGTGAACTGACCCTTTAAGTCAGGGGTGTCCAAACCCGGTCGTGGAGGGCCGGTGTCCTGCAGATTTAAGCTCCATCCTGCCTCAACACACCAGCAAGGACGTTTCTGGACAGCCTAGTTCAGGGATCACCAATCTTGGTCCTGGAGAGCTGGTGTCCCTGCAGAGTTTAGCTCCAACTTGCCTCAACACACCTGCCTGGGTGTTTCAAGTATACCTAGTAAGACCTTGATTAGCTTGTTTAGGTGTGTTTGATTAGGGTTGGAGCTAAAATCCGCAGGACACTGACCCTCTAGGAACAGGTTTGGTGACCCCTGGCCTAGTTAGAGCTTGATTAGCTAGTCCAGGTGTGTCTGATTGGAATTGGAACTAAACTTTGCAGGACACCGGCCCTCCAGGACCGAGCTTGGACATGCCTGCTTTAAGTAAACAGGTGACAAAATGTATGTGATTTTCTATCTATTTGATGAAAGTCGATGATGTGAATGGATGTTTAAACTGAACTATGGCGCAGAGCAAGTTTTGGGGAGCTAATAAAAAGCTTGTTTTTATTTTTGAATTTTTGAACAGTGAAATGATTCTTAATTGTTTTTATCTATTATTAAAAAAACATTGAGTACGAGCAAATTAATACATTTATACGGAAGCGTAGAGCTGCCACCCATGTAAAAAAAAAAAAATTGAGCTTTATCACAATTGTACAATATACTTTTCACGTTCTTACAATATAATATCACGTTCTTACAATATACTTTTCACGTTCTTACAATATATCATGTTTGTACAATATACTTTTCACGTTCTTACAATATAAATTCACGTTTGTACAATATACTTTTCACGTTCTTACAATATAAATTCACGTTTGTACAATATAATTATCACGTTCTTACAATATAATATCACGTTTGTACAATATACTTTTCACGTTCTTACAATATAAATTCACGTTTGTACAATATACTTTTCACGTTCTTACAATATATCATGTTTGTACAATATAATTATCACGTTCTTACAATATAATATCACGTTTGTACAATATACTTTTCACGTTCTTACAATATAAATTCATGTTTGTACAATATAATAATCACGTTCTTACAATATAATTATCACGTTCTTACAATATAATATCACGTTTGTACAATATACTTTTCACGTTCTTACAATATAAATTCATGTTTGTACAATATAATAATCACGTTCTTACAATATAATTATCACGTTCTTACAATATAATATCACGTTTGTACAATATACTTTTCACGTTCTTACAATATAATATCACGTTTGTACAATATACTTTTCACGTTCTTACAATATATCATGTTTGTACAATATAATTATCACGTTCTTACAATATAATATCACGTTTGTACAATATACTTTTCACGTTCTTACAATATAATATCACGTTTGTACAATATAATTATCACGTTCTTACAATATAATATCGTGTTTGTACAATATAATTATCACGTTATTTGCCGCCATACGTGCGCACAGATGATGATGTCACGTGAAGATCCCCTGTGCGCTCGCGAGCTGTAGTTTTCTCGCGTGTAGACCTGTAATCTGCACACGGTTCCCTTCTCCTCGCAATGGCAGACATGCAAAGATTCTTGCGATGGAGTATGGATCATAACGTCACTAACTGTTTTATTACTGGGTCTAGTAATCACAATCAGTAGCTGCAAAATTTCCCCATGTCTCAATCCAAGCATAAAATAGAACTTAATTAATTCTGTAAAACGAGACATTTTCTCACGCTCTGATCGCACCAGGTAAACGTAGCCTAAGCAATAAAGTTTTCACGTAATAACGTAATAATTATATTGTACAAACATGATATTATATTGTAAGAACGTGATAATTATATTGTACAAACGTGAATTTATATTGTAAGAACGTGATATTATATTGTAAGAACGTGAAAAGTATATTGTACAAACGTGATAAAGCTCAGATTTTTTTTTTACTTGAGTGGCAGCTCTACGCTTCCGTACATTTAAATCAACTGATTTGGTGCACCATTTGTGGTTGGTTACTTTATAGTGTGCCAAAAAATGTGTGTTTAATGTACTTAACCAAAAACATGACACAAAAACCAAAAATAAAAATAGAAGAAAAAATATCTCATAAGTAAAATTATAATAAAATATTTAAATATTATAATTATATTAGCTGGGAAAAGACAAAAACAAGACCAAAGAAACAAACAAACCCAAAATACATATTAAAATCATTCAGTCATTCATTTTCTTTTCAGCTTAGTCCCTTATTTATCAGGGGTCGCCACAGTGGAATGAACCGCCAACTCTTACAGCATATGTTTTATGCAGCGGATGCACTTCCAGCCGCAACCCAGTACTGGGAAACACCCATACACTACAGCCAATTTAGTTCATCAAATGGACTGAAACCGGAGCACCTGGAGGAAACCCAAGCCAACACAGGGAGAACATGCAAACTCCACACAGAAATGCCAACTGGCCTGGCAGGGACTCGAACCAGTGACCTTCTTGCTGTGAGGCGACAGTGCTAACCACTGAGCCACCCAATATCAAAATCTACAAATAAAAACTATATAAGCACACTATATTAACAATGTAAATTACTCCCCAAAACTGGCGTATGGAGCTAACGCTGCTACTACTAATAACAGATGTTAATGCAACCATGCAGAAATGACATCAAAACAGCAACAGAACTAAATGAAGGAGAACAGATGAACCCTGAACGAAATTCAGACAGATGACTCTTCCAAGCCAACACAACAAGAATGAAAATATAGAAGGAGATGAGGAGGAATAAAATGATAAAGAATATATGCCATGGCATGAAGATGATGGACAAAAGAAGCAGGAAGGCTGTACACATTTATTGAATGGGTGAGACTGAAAATACCTCTCAGCGCTGGTTTACAGTTCACAACAACACACTGTGTCATTTACTGACCTTTATCTTGCTCCAAACCTGAACGAACGTTTTGCTGGATATTAAAGTTGGTCTGAAATCAAAATCTAGTCTTCTTACATTTATATATAAATAACAATAATGAACAATACATCTGTGCAGTTCATTATTATGTAGAAAAGTACTTGCCCTTGAAATCTTTTATCAAATAATATAAACTTCTAGTCACATGGAACTCCTTTAGGGTGGGTTATCAGTCATTTAGGGTGGAGCTATTATTCTTTTAGGGCGGGGCTAACATTCTTTTAGAGTGGGGCTATCAGGAATTTAGGGGCAGAGCTATTAGGAATTTAGGGTGGAGCTATCAGTCATTTTAAGTTAGACTATCAGTCCTTTAGGGTGGGGCTTTAAGTCATTCAGGGCAGAGCTAGCAGTTATTTAGGGTGGGGATGTCAGTCCTTAAAGGCGGAGCTAACATGAACTTAAGGCGGAACTATCGGTTCTTTAGGGTGGAGCTATCAGTCCTTTGGGGCAGGGCGATCTGTGATTCAGGGTGGAGCTAACAGTCCCTTAGGGTGTTGCTAACGATAATTTTGAGCAAAGCTATCAGTTCTTCAGGGTGGAGCTATCAGGAATTTAGGGTGGAACTATCAGTCATTTTAGGTGGAGCTATCAGTCCTTTAGAGCGGGGCTATAAATCATTCAGGGCGGAGCTATCAAGTCTTTTAGGGCAGGGCTATTAGTAATTCAGGGTGGAGATAGCAGACCCTTTAGGGTGGAGCTACCAGGTATTTAGGGTGGAGCTATCGGTCCTTTGGGGCGAAGATATCTGTAATTTAGAACGTGGCGATCTGTGATTCAAGGGCTAACAGTCTCTTAGGGCGGAGCAATCAGTCATTTGGTGCGGAGCTATCAGGAATTTAGGGTGGTGCTATCAGTCATTTTAGGTGGGGCTATCAGTGCTTTAAGGCGGGGCTATAAGTCATTAAGGGCGAAGTTATCAGTCTTTTAGGGCAGGGCTATTAGTAATTTAGGGTGGAGCTAAGATCGAGCTATCAGTCATTTTAGATGGGCTATCAGTCCCTTTGGGCAGGGCTAACAGTTATTTAAGGTGGAACTATCAGTCTCTTAGGATGGTGCTATCAGTCCATTAAGGTGGGGCTATCAGTCAATTAGGACACAGCTATTAGTCCTTTAGGGCGGGACCATAACTCAATTAGGGAAGGACTGTCAGTCCATTAGGCAAGAACTATCAGTAATTTAGGGCGGAGCTAACTTGAATTTAAGGCAGAACTATCAGTTCTTTAGGGTGGAGCTATCCGGTATTTAGGGTGGAGCTATTAGTCCTTTAGGGCGGGGATATCGGTAATTCAGGACGGGGCAATTGGTGATTCAGGGTGGAGCTAACGTTGGAGCTTAGCGTTGCTAACAAGAATTCAGGGCGAAGCAATCAGTCCTTTAGTGAGGAGCTAACAGGAATTTAGGGTGGAACTATCAGTCATTTTAGGTAGGGCTATTAGTCCATAGGGCGGGGCTATTAGTCCTTTAGGGCGGTACTATCACTCAACTTAGGAAGGACTATCAGTCCATTAGGCCATTTAGGGCAGGGCTATTAGTAATTCAGGGTGGAGATAGCAGTTACTTTAGATGGGGTTATCAGTCCCCTAGGGCGCGGGCCATCAGCCTTTGAGGGAGGAGCTATCAGTCTTTTAGGGTGGGGCTAACAGTGCCTTAAGCCAGACCTATCAGGACTTTAGGGTGGAGCAATCAGCTGGGCCGGCGCATCCATAGAGGCGACCTAGGCAGACGCCTAGGGTGGCAGTATAGAGAAGGCGGCGTCCACGACACCTCCATTACCACCCGCGTCCTGAGTTATGTCCGTGACACCTCCCTCACCACCCCACCTCAGATATAATTGCACATTGGCGACAGAATAGAGAGGGCGCGGGCTGTCAGCGACACCTCCATCAGCACCCGCGTGTCCTCAGTTATATCCGTGCATTGGGCGGCAGAAGAGGTCTGCGACACTCGCGCGTCCTCAGTTATATCCGCACAAAGCGCGACAGAATAGAGAGGGCAGCGTCCGTGACACCTCCCTCCCTCAGCACCCGCGCGTCCTCAGTTATATCCACGCATAGAACGGCAGAATAGAGAGGGCACCGTACGCGACACCTCCCTCCCTCAGCACCCACGCGTCCTCAGTCATATCCGCGCATAGGGTGGCAGAATAAGAGGTCTGCGACACCTCACTTCATTTTCATAACCGGTCACTTTTGTTTTCACATTGGGGTTGAGGCGTGATCGTCCTCTGCCTAGAGCGGCAGTTCAGCTTGCTCCGGCCCTGGCTATCAGTCATTTTAAGTGAGGATATCAGTTCTTTAAGAAGGGACTCAGTCATTGATGGCGGAGCTATCAGTGTTTTAGGGCGGGAGATATAAGTCATTTAGGGCGGAGCTAACAATTTTAGGCCAAAGATATCAGTCTTTTAGGGCGGCGTTATCAGTCAACTAGGGCGGAGATATCAGTCCTTTAGGGCGACACTATCAGTCCTTTAGGGCGAGACTATCAGACATTTAAGATGAGATTATCAGTTTTTTTAGGGTGGAGCTATCAGTCATTTAAGGCAGAGCTATCAGTCTTGTAGGGCAGGGCTATCAGTCATCCAAGGCAGTATTATCAGTATTTTAGGGCGGAGCTATCAAGTCCTTTAGGGCAGGCCGATGGGCAGGTCTATCAGTCATTTAAGGTGGGACTATCAGTCTTTTAGGACGGTGCAATCAGTCCTTTAAGGTGTGGCTATCAGTCAATTAGGGTGGAGCTATTAGTCATTTAGGGCGGGAATCTCACTTAATTAGGGAAAGACTATCAGTCTATTAGGCCAGAGCTATCAGTAATTTAGGGTGGGGCTGTCGGTCAATTAGGGTGGAGCTATTAGTCGATTAGGGCGGGACTATTACTTAATTAGGGAAGGACTATCAGTCCATTAGGCCAGAGCTATCGGTAATTTAGGGTGGGGCTATCAGTAATTTAAGGCAGGACTACCAGTCTTTTGGGGGCGGAGCTATTAGTCCTTTAAGGTGGAGTTTTCAGTAATCTAGGGAGGGGTCTTGCTTCTGCCCTGCTTTTGTACATTTGTCAATTTTCATCCTTTTTGTTAACAAGCCCACCCTCTGACTATATAACTGGTTTACAAAGGATGAAATCATGCAGACCTTTTTTTTATTATTATCATTTTAGAGCCGTATGTCACAACATTGGGAAAAAAAGGACAATCTTAACTTTCATTTCATGCTGACTATAACAGTAGGTTTGAAGCAACATAAAGGTTACAATAACACCTTAATTTGGCAGTGAACTAACTAACTACCGAAATAAAGAATGTGGGGAAAGTGTGTGCGCTTATTCCTGAGTATCAGATCATACTTCTTCTGTTTCTGCTTTGAAGGGTTTACAGGTGTTTTAATGGATCTCCCAACAGCTCCTCCATAGAAACGAGACTCCGCCTCCGCATAGCGACCACGATCAAGCCACACCCTCTCGCTGTCAGCATGCAGGAAATAACACCCAGCTGCTCCCTGATTGGTGGAGGGATGATTGGAATCCTGCTGATTGCAAACCACAGGCTTTTTCGGCGCAGCAACATTGTTATTTTGTCGCTTGGACTTGGACTGGTTGGTTGGTTTTCTTGGCGTTGAGTTCTGGTTGTACAGGTTTTGATAGAAAGACGCCTCGGCTTTATCGAAAAGAGGCTTCTGTAGCCAAACCCCCATTGGGGGAAGAGAGAGGCAAGGAAGGCCATTGATTGGCTTAGAAGCAGGAGTGGGCGGGGTCGGGGTTTGTGATTGGTAGCCTTCATCACATGGTGTTTGGCTGCTGGGCTGCAGTTGAAGAGATCTTGGAGTCGCTGCATGATTTTGGCCCACAAACTTGCTCTCAGCTTGATCATATTTGGGTTTATTGACCCACACGGACTGAACGATGTGGTGACAAGCCTCTTGTTCTCCATGCTGGCATGTGTCTTGCTTTCGCTTGGAACTAGAAGAGCTTGCAGTAGCAGTTGTGCCATTTTGCTGCTGCAACAGCCGCACGTAATACAGACTTTCCGCTCTTTCGTATTGAACACGGTCAAACCAGATGGCTGAACACTCCGATCTCAAACCCTCGAGCGCCCCGCTGGACAAACACCCAGTGGTTCGGTCCGTCTGCCGCTCGGAGGAACCAGACTGGTTTGAAGAAGAATTTCGATGGCTCCTGTTGCGCATTTTCTTGTGTTCGGGAATACAAAGGTAGAAGGGGATTGAGAAATAAGGGAAGAGGAAAAGGACAGTGACAGGGAACTGGAGAATTAATTACACAGAAGTAGGTTAACATTAAACATGAAGTGTGTAAATTGTATTTTCGGATGTACAAATATTTTTTAATCAGAATTAAACAAATGTTTAGTTATTTGGCTAGTTTTAGGTTATAATATGAAGCAGAATCTTAAAAGTGGTATATAGTGCTGAAAAAAGTATGTTTTAAAATGTATTACAGAAGCCGCTGATTTTAAAACTAGTTTAAAAATAAGTTTTATTATAAATCGTAAAATAGAGTCGAGAAATGCATTGATTGTGAGATATGCATTGTGATTCTCTCTTGAATTGATTCTGAGCTTAATTTTGAACAGCAGATTGCACTGTTGCTTTACAAACAGCTGTGCTCTGCTTGCTTCCAACTCCTTACACGTACCACTTAAAACGAAAATTGATATGCATTCTGATATTAGAATCAATATGCATTCAGAAAATTTAAGAAATGATCTACGAATTACAATTAATCCATTTATCATTTATCACAAAAAATTATATACTTTAAGTGAAATTAAAGAACAACATTATTATTACGCAATTTCAAATTAACAGATTTCACCATAAAATTAATGCTTTTAGACTTTCAAGACATGTTATTTGTTCCTTTTTACGTAATGTCAACTTGGACATCTTTAAAATTATTTTTCGCAAACGATACACAACACACTAGAGTTGTCAAAAGTATCAATTTCCGTAACTTCTGGTACAGCGATTTTAAAAACGTTGAATTCCTGCTAACATTTGAACACTTTTGAGATGGTAATTAAACACCACTGATTGGCCTGTGGCTGTTTCTCAATTCCAAGAATGCAGAGAACGAACTTGTGTTCTTGTGGAGACCGATCATGCCAGGTCACCTCGAAAGAACGAACTCAGGAGACCACGAGAACAGAGAATGCATCCTGTGAGAAATGAGATGCTGCATTCTTCCTGATGGTCACATGACCTTCACGCGCTTTTAAAGGAAAATTATTTAAACATTACAGCATTCATACAACAATTTATTGCGTTTCCCCTTTTTACAATATATACTCTGCATAAAGACTTTACAAATATACACTGCACAATACAAATAAAACAGATTTTAATACGAATTTCAGCAAACAAACACCCTTACTGTGTTTATTCAGCGTTTGGCGTTCACCGAGTGCAAACAAAGATACTATGAACACTGGAGCATTTCAAAGCAACGTTGATCAGTTGAATGTCCATAAAGCTGACGTATGATATGAGTGTTCGATTCAAATTGGTACTTGTGTTGTCAAAAGTGTTGAACTTTGATTCTAATTGGTACTGAAATTTTTTTGAACATCGATTTCCCGCAAACATTTGAGCGCTGTTGAACACGTTCTTAAACACCACTGATTGGCCATTGTGTTCACCTGCTTAGAAATAACTGTGATTGGCTGTGAAGGTCATCATAAATTTGTATCAAAGTCCATTCTTTTGACAACACTATTACCAATTAGTAGCAAAGTCGATACTTTTGACAACACTAGTAGCGATTGTTACTGAAGTCAAAACTTTTGACAACAATAGTACCGATCGGTAGCAAAGTCGATACTTTTGATAACACTAGTAGCGATTGTTACTGAAGTCGAAACTTTTGACAACACTAGTACTGATTGGTAGCAAAGTCAATACTTTTGACAACAATAGTGCCAATTGGTAGCAAAGTCAATACTTTTGACAACACTAGTACCGAATGGTAATGAAGTCAATACTTTTGACAACACTTGTAACAATTGATACCGAAGTCGATACTTTTGACAGCACTAGTACTCATTGGTAGCGAAATCGATACTTTTGACAACACTAGTACCAATTGATACCGAAGTCGATACTTTTGAGAGCACTAGTACCCATTGGTAGCGAAGTCGATACTTTTGACAACACTAGTACCAATTGGTAGCGAAGTCGATACTTTTGACAGCACTAGTACCCATTGGTAGCGAAGTCGATACTTTTGAAAACCCTTGTACCAATTGATACCGAAGTCGATACTTTTGACAGCACTAGTACCCATTGGTAGCGAAGTCAATATTTTTACAGCACTAGTACTGACTAGTAGTGAAGTTGATACTTTTGACAACGTTACTACTGACTGGTACCGAAGGTGATACTTTTGTCAACACTAGTACCAACTAGTAGCAAAACTGATACTTTTGACACCACTAGTACCCATTGATACCGAAGTCGATACTTTTGACAACACTAGTACCAATTGGTAGCGAAGTCGATACTTTTGACAATACTAGTACCAATTGGTAGCGAAGTCGATACTTTTGACAGCACTAGTACCCATTGGTAGCGAAGTCAATATTTTTACAGCACTAGTACCGACTAGTAGTGAAGTTGATACTTTTGATAACGTTAATACTGACTGGTACCTAAGGTGATACTTTTTTCAACACTAGTACCAACTAGTAGCAAAACTGATACTTTTGACAACACTAGTACCAATTGATACCGAAGTCGATACTTTTGACAACACTAGTACCAATTGGTAGCGAAGTCAATACTTTTTACAGCACTAGTACCGACTGGTAGTGAAGTCGAAACTTTTGACACCACTAGTACCAATTGGTCAATACTTAATGACGTCAATACTTTTGATAACACTAGCACTGATTGGTAGTGAAGTTGATACTTTTGTTAACACTAGTATTATCGGGCGACAAAGTCGATACTTTTGACAACACTATAATTGACTGGTACCAAAGTCAATACTTGTCAACACTAGTACCAACTGGTAGCGAAATTGATACTTTTGACAACACTAGTACTAATCGGTAGTGTAGTAGATACTTTTGACAACAGTAGTATGATTGGTACTGAAGACAATACTTTTGACAACACTAGTACCGATTAGTATCGAAGTTGATACATTTAACAACACTAGTACTTAGTGATTACAAAGTCGATACTTTTGACAACAAGAGCACTGATTGGTACTAGGGCTGCACAATATATCGTTTCAGCATCGATATCGCAATGTCAAGTTGAGGTGATAATTAACCAGAAAACACAGTTTAAAACAAAGTTTAACCCCAAAACAGTGAAAGATTTTTTGATGTCCATGATTATGTATGGTTTTAAGCGAGATTGAACTATTTGGGTACTAGAAATGCTACAATTTGTTAAACAATTAACTGAGTTTATTTGGATTTAAAAAATTTTCTATAATTAAGACTACAGTAAATTAAAGTCTAAAGTCTTTAGCCAAGAATGGTTGTTGTTGAATAGTTTAAAGTTAGTTTTATAATTCATAATTCTGCAATAAATGTAAAATTATTAATTTATTCCAAACATAGTCAGTATAGAAATTATATTAATATTGCAATATTTAATTGCAGAAAAATGAAATATCATAATGTCAGTTTTTTTTTCAATATCATGCAGCCCTAATTGGTACCGAAGTCGATACTTTTGACAACCCTATATCAAACACTACTAACCACCTAACAAAAAAGTTAAATAGCAAAATAAAAGCAATTGCATTTACTATTTTATCTGCACAGCAAAATTACACACTTCAGCTTTAAAGACAAACACACAAACATTTATGGTTGCATTAGATTTAAACACTGAGCTTTATAATGAAGTCAAGCTTAGAACTAATAAAAAAAGAAGGAACTGAAAGTATGATGACGAAAAGAAAGGACAATCAGATTCAGAATGAACAAAACACGCACACAAATCCGTCATGGGACAAATAATATGAACCAAATCCATCATCCAGCATGCTAATGGGAGAGATTTTGTCCAAAACTCACCTTCAGCAAAGGGAAAAGCCACCAAACAAACAGCTCAATACGTTCTTCTCATCCAGACAAGGGCAAGCAATGAACCATAAAGTGCAATTAAAAGAAATGTTTTACACACAATCTCAAATGGAGGACATTGCTATTACACAACCTTACAAATAAGCTCTGTGATAACAAAAAAATAGGTACAAAACAGGGATTTTTAAACAGAATTGTTTGTATACATGTTGTACATCAAGATTTATTTAATTATTTATTAAAAGATTCAAGATTTTGGTCCAAAAAATGTATTATTTGTCACTTGAAACATTAATAATTTGAGACTGCCCTTCAAAATCACTTGGTTTTACAAGCAAGAAGGTTGCAAATCACATAAAATAAATATATTAACATTTTGTATGATTAATATGCTGAAGTATACAATTAAGAATAAATATTTTATATATTCTTTTACTCATATATCAGTTAAACTGCATGATGATAGATTTAATTCACCCTTATTTTGACATTTTCATGTTGTTACGCTAACATATTTCTGCTATTACTTTGTTCGTCGGGTATAACTTAATGATTACAATCACTTAAATTGTAAATATTTGACCATTTTTAGACTAATACTGATGATGTAGAACCCGAATGTGTAACAGAGACGTGATTTATCCTTTAATTAACATAAAGTAAACAATTACAATGCCAAACCAAATTAACCTTATGACTATTCTTGACTTAAATTACATTAAACTCACTTAAAACAGCTTGTAAATCGTATAAGATGAAGTTAGAAACATGATTAACTTAGTTTAATAAGTTATAATTAACATTAAAACAACATCATGACCAGCGTTGGGTAAGCTGAAGTGAACACTAACGGATTGCATCATTAAAATAGTATTTCAATTACTTTTCTCAAATGTAACTTGATTGCTCAATAGTTAATTCAGTTATTTGACTACATGAATATCATATCAATCTCAACATGTAGATAAAAACTCTTAGTAATTTACATGTGACTTAAATAGGGTCTTTATTTTTATAAAATAATTTGACACTTAAGAAAAGGTAAACATCGTTTGCATCAAAACACAAAAAGTTTCAAAGTAATGACGCCGCGTTTCACACATCACATTTACTGTCATTAATACGTTCCTTATTTATTGTTGATTTTACAAGTGTAATTGCCTTGATAAATATGACCATAGTTTTAGAGATATAACTATTCTTCAAAAGATGTTTGTATAACAAAAGCACAATTTATTCAAAACTGATGAACGTATTTATAATGTTTAATATTATAAGTGGAAAAACTGTACAAAAGCACGCAAGTCCCTTTTAACTGGGTGCTCAGCCAAAAAACGCAAAAGGTGCAAATTAAATATTCATCAAAGGCGGCAGCACCAAAGCTCAAAAAAACAAATTTATTAAATTAAAAAAGGTCTGAGTCAGCATTTTTAATTTAATAAATTTGTATTTTTTAATTTAATAAGTTTGTATTTTTGGAGCTTTGGTGTTGCCGCCTTTGATGAATATTTAATATTATAAGTAACGTAAAAATTAAAAGTATTTTTTTACTATATTTTATAAGTTGAAAAAATTAAATTTTAATTAAAGTTAAAAATTACAGTAAAAATGGTATTTAATTAAATTAACTAGTTCTTTGCTACTAATTACACCCAATACTAGTCATGAAATATTGATCATTTAATATTTACACTGCAGTAAAGCTCTTAAAAGGACTAAAAATATTAAATACATTTTTTTGGAGATTTTATTACAGCAAAATGTTATTTAACGGCAGTAACTAGTTACTTTGTTACTAATTACATCCAGTACTGATCATGACATACTGATCATTTAATATTTGCACTGCAGTAAAGCTCTCAAAAGAACAAAAAATATATTATTACATACATTTAATGGGGATCAAATTACCATAAAAATGTGATTTAATTAAAGCAACTAGCACTTTAATACTAATTACACCCCATACTGATCATGAAATATTGATCACACACTTTTTACACTACAGTAAAGCCCTGAAAGGACTAAATTAAATATATTTCATACATTTTATGGGGATTTAATTACAGTAAAAATGTGATTTAATGACAGTAACTAGATACTTAGATACTAACACACCCAATAGTCATGAAATATGGATCTTTTAATATTTACACTGCAGTAAAGCTCTTAAAATGACTAAAGTAAATCTATTACACACATTTTATGGAGATTTAATTACAATAAAAAAGTTATTTAATTAAAGAAAATAGTAAGTTTGTTACTAATTACACCCCATACTGAGTATGACATATTGATCATATCATTTTTACACTACAGTAAAGCCCTGAAAGGACTAAATTAAATATATTTCATACATTTTACGGGAATTTAATTATAGTAAAATGTAATTTAATCACAGTACCTAGTTACTTAGATACTAATACACCCAATATTAGTCATGAAATATGGATCATTTAATATTTACACTGCAGTAAAGCTCTCAAAATGACTGAAGTAAATCTATTACACACATTCTATGGAGATTTAATAACAATAAAAAGTTATTTAATTACAGAAACTAGTTAGTTTGTTACTAATTACACACAATACTGATCATGTCATATTGATCATATACTTTTTACACTGCAGTAAAGCCCTGAAAGGACTAAATTAAATATATTTCATACATTTTACAGAGATTTAAATACAGTAAAATGTGATTTAATGACAGTAACTAGATACTTTGTTACTAATTAAACCCAGTACTGATCATGACATATTGATCATTTAATATTTGCACTGCAATAAAGCTCTCAAAAGGACAAAAAAAAAATGATTACATACATTTAATTGGGATTTCATTAAAGTAAAATGTGATTTAGTTAAAGAAGCTATTTTTTTATTGTTACTAATTACATCCAATACTAATCATGACACATTGATAATTTAACATTTACACAGTAGCACAGCTCTCAAAATGACTAATATAAATATGTTAAATACATTTTATAGGGATTTAATTACAATAAAATGTGATTTAAAGACAGTAACTCGTTATTTTGGTACTAATTACAGCCAATATTAGTCATGTCAGATTGATAATTGAATCTTTACACTGTAGTAAAGCTCTCAAAAGGACTAAAGTAAATCTATTACATACATTTTATGTGTAAAAACACACAAATTATGAATTCTTAACATATTAAATAATTTTTTGTTCACCCCCACAATGCTTCAACACATCTGACCGATCAATTGAGGAAATAACCGTCTGTGGATCTTAAAAATCGATGTCAAATAGCTGATTGTGTTGCTTTAAAATGA